AGATTTCGTTTTGGCCATTTGGAATCAACACAAGCTGGAGCTTCTGCCTTTTTACCTGTTCCACTGTTTTTTTTCTACTTTGTGGCAGTGGAAAAAAATGTTCCAGGCTCATTTAGTACTTGCCCTGGCCAGCCCTGTAAAATCAGCTATTCTTCAAGGAATCACATTTTGTATTGTAGAATGGTATTTAGAAATAAACATCTGGGTGCTGGGAGTGCTCACTGCTACTGGGGATCATTGGTTTTCAGCCCATTAGGAGACTAGAGCTAGTAAATAGTTATGTGGAGATACATACTTAAATACACCGTGTGTGTGTGTGTGTGTGTGTGTGCGCGCATATCCACACACATCTGTATCTACTTCTGTAAATTCCGAGCTAGACACATTTGACAAGCATGAAAGTGGTTCACAAAGGCTGTTTTCCTAGGGTGGGGCTTATCCATTGCCCTCAGGCTATGTATAACACTACAATTCCTTTCTTTTGTTTTTCATTCCTTTTTACTCTTTCATAACCTATCCCTGCAATTTCTGAAAATGTAGGAAACTTAACTGCATAATTTGTGGCAATGGGGGACTGTGTTTGTGCTATCTCCTGCTCAAAAAGAAAGTAAAAAGGAAGAAAAGTCAGGTGCAGTGCCTACTTGGAAGTCTGAGGCAGGAGGAAGTGAGAGAATTCCTTGAGCCCATGAATTCAAGTCTACATTGAGCAGCATACTGAGTTCCTAACGGGGAAAAGAAGGGAGACACCAATTCAACTCATATCCATCTCTACAGGTTTTTTCAGTCACTCCTCATCCTGGAGTTCCTTGGGGGCTCTTGGTCAATCACACACATTGGATAATTGTCAGACAATCCTAAAGAAATAAGGAGGGACCACACATGGGTCCAAGTCTGGGCTTGAGCTGTCCACTGGAACAGCACTGCTACTCAGTCATGGACACCAGAAAGGGATTTCAAACACTTAGAGTGACAACTGCAAATTGTGGAGGCCCTTGAGTCACAGGACACAAAGAAGGGGTCCCACTTGCCTGCATCCCAGGTTAGCACTGCTTTCCTCTCCCATAACCAATGTCACACTGTCCTTTTGCAAAGCACCCACAGTGACCATCTTTGTTCATGTTTTTGAGCACTCATCTTAAGTATCTACATTGCCAGGTAAAGACTGCTAACATCAGGGCATGAACACATCAATGAGTCACCAAAACTTCAACCTGAAAATATTCGGCTGATCTTTTAGCAATTCCATTCCCAAGTATATATTCAAGAGAGTTAAAACATATACTTACACAAAAACTTACACAGAATATGCTCAGAGTAGCACTAGTTAACAGGGGAAAAGTGCAAAACCCAATGTACATAAAGTGAATATAAAATGTGGTATGTCCATCCAATGCAGTATTGTTCAGCAATATGAAGAAATGAAGTATTGATTCAAGTTGCAACATAACAAACCTCCAGACATCATGTCAAATGAAATAAGCCAGGCACAAAGCACCATGTATGGCATGGTTCCATTTACATCAAATATGCACAATTCACAATTCAACTGAGACAGAATGTAGACTAGTGGTTTCTGGAGGCTGAGGAGGTGGACGTGGTAACTGTTAATGTGTACAGGGTTTGTTTTAGATGATGGGTGTTGCAAAGCAATGGGAATCTTTTCAAACATAAAGGATATATGACAACCCCCTCCAAAAAAGTGTTAAAATGTGGCAGTGCTCAGAGCTTAACACAGAGAAATGCACAGGGGCCACCAATGAACAGGGAAACCAAGTCAATCGATGGTGACAAGAAGGCACTGAGGCAGAATGGTCCCATGGTGGCTAATGGGTACCAGTACAGAGTTAGGGAATTAATCCCAAATATGGATGGAAGTGAAGGTACAGGTCCAATGCACTTTGGGAGACATAAATTATACAACATTACAAATGAGATGGTTTTCTCGCCAGTAAGCAACAAAAATAAACTCACATACCTCTCATGTTCACAGCTATGTTGTGATCAGCGTGAAGAGTCAGATCATCAGGACAGCAGATGAAAGCTGTACCTGCAGTCTTTCAGTAATAGAGGTCAAAAATTGTTTGGGTTTATTTTACCAGATTTTGGTACAAATTATCTTTTAAAAAATGATCTACTGCGGCATCTAGTGATAAGAAATGGAAAAAAAGAGAATGCAGGTACAAGATTTCTTTCATTTCAGATATTATTTTCTGAGACAGGGTCTCACTCTGTTGCCCAGGCTGCTTTCAAACCCCTAGGCTCAAGCAATCCTTCCACCTCAGCCTCCACAGTAGCTGAGACCACAAGTGTGAATTATCGTACCCAGCAAAGTACTAAAATCTCTGATGCTCTGTACAGAAGGAGTTAACACAGGACTGAGACTACTATTCTTAGAAACGACTCCTTGCAACATGCTATGAATTGACTGATGGTGTCCTCTCCAAAATTCATGCTGAAACTCAATTCCCTCTTCCCCTTCCACCTCTTCCATTACATTTGTCCTCTCTGACAATTGCAGCAACAGGATACCATCCTGGAAGCAGTATCACCAGACATTCAACCACTTAGGGCCTTGACCTTGGAATTCAAAGCCTCCGCAACAGTGCTAAATGACTTTATTTTACCAGTTACCCAGTGTGTGGAATTGTTATAGCAGCATGAATTGAGTAGTCACATGTTTGAGAATCTGGATTTAGGGAGGATTCTCACAACTCCCTGCTAAGAGAGACTCACTATGTCTAAGCTATTTGTACAATGTGGTTTATGTCCAATGCATACCTTCTGTCTGGGAGTCTGGAATTTTGGAATAAGCTAGGCGGACGTTGCCTGTGTCCAACTCCTCATGAAGACCTACGTCAAGAGTCTACAGTGAGTTTCTCTGATAGACATTTTACACGTGCAGTTAAAATTCAAAGTGGCAGGAATTTAGCACATCAGCTTTTGGCCGATTCTTCCAGATTTCATCCTACGCCCTCTTCCCTTGGCTCAATGTATTTTGCATCCTTTCACTGTAATAAGTCCTAAGCCTAAGTATGACAGTATGAAGTGTCTTGTGAGTCCTCTTAGCAAATCACACAATATGGACGTGGTTTTAGGGACAACCCATATAGCATGTAAATAAGACAGCATCCATGAAGGAATGCTCCAAAAATCAACTATGGAACCTGGTCACCCAATTAGTATAATTTGCTGAGTGAAGTTCTTCCTTTCATCAACATCGAAAATAACAGCATCATGTCTCAGTAGTATGGAACAACACCCACACCAAATTCCTACCAAGGAACACTTGCCTCTCTTTACCTTGTCCTTACTGGTTCCATATCCAGAAAAAGGTCCACTGCTATTATGCTATGTTCTCTCTTGGTACATACCTTTTCTTCAAGAAACTTTTTTTTAATACTTTCACAGTATATGTATATCTTATTTGGTCCAGGATTTGCCTTCTGCCTCTTCTGGAATTATGCATTAAAAAGTGTAGCAGACAGCAATACCACTCTTGGGGATATACCCAAAAGACTGTTACTCCAGAGGCACCTGCACATCCATGTTTATTGTGGCACTATTCACAATAGCCAAGTTATGGAAACAGCCAAGATGCCCCAGCACTGACGAATGGATTAAGAAAATGTGGTATCTATACACAATGGAATTCTATGCAGCCATGAAGAAGAACGAGATGTTATCATTCGCTGGTAAATGGATGGAATTGGAGAACATCATTCTGAGTGAGGTTACCCTGGCTCAAAAAACCAAAAATCGTATGTTCTCCCTCATATGTGGACATTAGATCAAGGGCAAACACAACAAGGGGATTGGACTATGAGCACATGATAAAAGCGAGAGCACACAAGGGAGGGGTGAGGATAGGTAAGACACCTAAAAAACTAGCTAGCATTTGTTGCCCTTAATGCAGAGAAACTAAAGCAGATACCTTAAAGCAACTGAGGCCAATAGGAAAAGGGGACGAGGAACTAGAGAAAAGGTTAGATCAAAAAGAATTAACCTAGAAGGTAACACCCACGCACAGGAAATCAATGTGAGTCAATGCCCTGTATAGCTATCCTTATCTCAACCAGCAAAACCCCTTGTTCCTTCCTATTATTGCTTATACTCTCTCTACAACAAAATTAGAGATAAGGGCAAAATAGTTTCTGCTGGGTATTGAGGTGGGGGGAGCGGGAGGGGGTGGAGTGGGTGGTAAGGAAGGGGGTGGGGGCAGGGGGGAGAAATGAACCAAGCCTTGTATGCACATATGAATAATAAAAGAAAAATGAAAAAAAAAACAAAAAAAAAGTGTAGCAGATACTGTTGTCCACATTTACCAATTTATCTGTGTATTCAAAGCACCAGAGAATTATTTTGTTTTTGAAACTGGCTTCCGGAGTCCATGAATTCGTTTTGATTTTTTGTGCCACACAGCAGTGCAGAGTGACAGTGGAGGCTTTAAGTGTAAGAGATTATTACTTAGTACTTTTCCAGACTCTACTGTGCATAAGCTACTGCTTTGGCAATGCTGACGCTCAGTAAAAAACTGAAGTATAACTTATGAAATTACAGAATGGAAAAATTACCACAAAGTGCTCATTGCTAGGGAAAGATCACTTTTGGAAAATGTTTCTTTACACATTATCTTACACACAAACACACACACACACACACACACACACACACACACTCATGCACCAGGAGCTGAGTTCAGTTATGCTATAAAGGCAACAATCTATGATCTACGAAGCCCATGCATTTCTCCTGTCATTACAGATATTGCCATCATTTTAATTGCTTTGGTTGATATAGGGCTAACTATATCTAAACTCAAATTCCTACCAAGGTGTACATTCTTCCATTAAAAAACCAATTCAATGGCATTATTTATATGTTACTTATAGTTCTGGAATGTTAATCTCATAGTCATAAACTGAAGGTGGGCATAGAGACTCAGGCCAGTAACCCCTGATGCTCAGGAGTCAGAGATCAGAAGGATTGCCATGTGAGACCAACCCAGACACAAACTGGTTAAGACCCTACCTGAACAAAACAAGCTGGGTGTGATGACATACATCTATAATCCCAGCTACATGGGAGGCATGGGTAGTAGGATCATAGTCTGTGGCTGGCCGTTGGCAAAAAGTGCAAGATTCTATCTAAAAAAAATAACGAAAGCATAAAAGGGCCAGTGACAGGAGCACCTGCATGGAAAAGCATGAGCCCTGAGTTGAAACCCCAGTACTGACAAAAACATCATAAAATTAATTCCAAGTATATGACTTCCAGCTCAAAGAAGTACACAATTTACCTTCTGATATACACTTTGCCCAACCATGCTTTCTGCTTCCGATAGGGGAAAGTATATGCATGTCAATTCTGCTTCAAATACATTCGGTGAAATGATCAAACATCCGCAAGTTCTTTTCGGTATTTGCGTTGTGGAGATGGGAACATGACATGGAAAGAGAACGCTGTGGTAATTAAAAGGCAATCATTTCAAAGTCTGGATAGAAATGCAGAGAATGAGGGATCACAAGTAAATTCAGTCTATAGAGAAATTCTGTCATTGGTTACTACTTCTGACACTTCCAAAGTGTTGCATTAAATCACCTAGTGCTACTGGGTAAACATTCAACTGTGTAATATTCAGAAACCTGTTACTGTCAGATAAATAAAACTGTTTAGCAACAGCCACAAAAATCATAAAAGACAGTTCAGCGTATAAAGTATAATACCCATGGCAAAGCAGACAGGGATCCAGGAAGAACCCAACTTGAGAGCAGAGGCTGGAGGTAGAACAGGAGTCAGGTGCAATAGGGTGACACCATTTTAACATGGCAGGATGCAGATCCACTGGTTTTCTGCATTTCAACAAATACTCATTTCCCTGAATAATTTTCTTTTGACGGCTTCCTCCTCTGTGTACCATTTTCAAGTATTCTACATGTTTTCCTTTTGACTCATTTAACCAAAACCTGTCATCAATGTTGAGGCCATATATAACCAACAGCAATGGTCCTGCCCATGGAGCTTACAGTCTAGTGACATGCACTCTGGTACACCTCAAACAATACTTTTGCTAAAGGCCCAGTCACCCTCATTTCCTTTCAAAGTCCTCCTTCCTAAGTGATATCTGATAAATGTCCGAGTTCTGACTGAAACCTTTCCAGTACCACTTGCAAGGTGCTCAGCTGGGTGGCATTTGCTCAGTATTACATAAACAGTGACCAGTAAACCAAATATTTTTCTTCTATGAAGCATAATGAACATGAGAATTCAGGTCACACATGAGGTTTTTCAATAATGTCACTTTGCAGAACTTCCTTGCTCTGACGATTGACTAATCTTCTTACCTCTCTTATCGCTTTCATAAAGCGTATCACTAGCGTGAGTTTTATGATGACTTACAAGATTTGATCGCCAGCTGAAGCTCTTATTACACATCTCACACTTGTAAGGCTTCTCCCCTGTGTGAACTCTCTGATGAGACTGGAGCTGTGAAGACCGACTGAAGACTTTACCACACACATCACATTTGAACGGCTTCTCTCCAGTGTGGACACTCTGGTGAAGTTGAAGACTTGAGGCCTGACTAAAGTACTTACCACATTCCCCACACTTATATGGCTTTTCTCCTGTGTGGACCCTCTGGTGCATGTCAAGATTCAAGCTCCACTTGAAGCCCTTCCCACACTCCTCACATTTGTATGGCTTTTCCCCAGTGTGGACTTTTTGGTGAGCTTGAAGGTGTGCGCTCCGACCAAAGCTCTTCCCACACTCTTCACATTTGAATGGCTTTTCTCCACTGTGGACTCTCTGATGGGCCAGAAGATGTGAAGCCTGACTGAAGCCCTTCCCACACTCCTCACATTTATAGGGTTTCTCTCCTGTGTGGATTCGACAATGAATCTTAAGATCTGCTCCCCGGCTGAATCCCTTTCCACACTCTTCACATTTGTATGGTTTCTCACCGGTGTGGATCAGCTGGTGAATCTGAAGCCGTGAACACTGATTGAAGCCCTGTCCACACTCCTTACATTTATAAGGTTTCTCTTTGCTGTGGGCCTTCTGATGGATTTGAAGATATGAACTCTGACTAAAGCCCTTCCCACATAACTCGCATTTATAGGGTTTCTCTCCTGTATGGACCACTAGATGAACTTGGTAATGGGAGTTCCTCCTAAAGCTCTTCCCACACTCCTCACATTTATATGGTTTCTCTCCAGAGTGGACTCTCAGATGGGCTTGAAGATTTGAACTCAGAGTAAAGCCTTTACCACACACAGTGCATATGTGTGACTTCTCTCCAGTGTGTACTCCCTGATGGGCCTGAAGACTTGAAGGTCGACTAAAGCCTTTACCACATTCCTCACACTTATACGGTTTTTCTCCTGTGTGGACCCTCTGATGAATGTAAAGATTTGAGCTACAAATGAAGCCCTTTCCACACTCCTCACATTTGTATGGTTTCTCTCCTGTGTGAACTCTCTGATGGGACTGAAGATGTGAATTCCGACTGAAGCTCTTCCCACAGGCATCACATTTGAAAGGTTTCTCCCCAGTGTGGAGTCTCTGATGGTCCTGGAGGTGAGAGGCCTGACTGAAGGCCCTCCCACATGCCTCACAATTATAAGGTTTCTCTCCTGTGTGGACTTTACAATGAACGTTAAGTGCTGATCTTCGACTGAAGCCTTTCCCACACTGGTCACATTTGTGTGGTCTCACTACAAGGTGGAGTTTCTGATGGGCATGTAGATGTGAGCTGTGACTGAATTCCTCACCACACTCAGCACACTTATTTTTTTCTCCCACATGAACTGTTTGATGAACATGGTGAACTGAGTCATAATGGAAGCCTTTCCCACACTCCACACATGGAACAGACTTCTCTCCTGAGTCTAACTGCTGCTGGGGATCAAAGCTAGAAAGATCACTGAAGGCTTCTTTACACTCAGACAGCTTCTTCCCTGTGTGAATCATCCTATTCTTTATGCTATCTTTGCCATAATCATCAGGGCTATAAGACTTTTCACTTTTGTGTGCTCCACAATCATCACAGTGGTGTGAAGTCCAACTAATGGGGTCAATAGCCTGTCTACACAGACACAGTTTATTTTTCATGGAAATTTGCTGATATCTATTCTGATAATTCTGTGACTCAGTCAGAGAAGTTTTCCTCCAAGAATCCTGGGTCCTCAAAGTAGGAAATTGTGGATTTCCAGTATTACTGCGATCACCTGCTTTGTGATTTTGTATACAGTTCTCATCTTCAGAAAGTTGAATAGGAAACCATGCTCCAATTTGGCAGGGGGAATCACTTTGTCGGTAGAACTGAGTATTATTTATCATGGAGTCTGGACACCTGGTTAAGTCATTTGAAATTTGTTGCCAGATCTGCCAGCAGGAAAGCTCTTCATGTGATCCTCTGTCTTGAACAATTCTTAAGTCTCTCTCAATGTTCTCTCCTATAAGGACAAAGAATTCAGAGATACAGACCAGTGAAAGCTTTGTTCAAACATTGAAGATTTCACACTTAGGACTCAGAATGAGACTGTAAGGAAACTCAGGATGGATCAGGGTCTTGTGCTTGCTAAGGCAGGCACTCCACCACTTGAGCTACACCTGCAACCCCTTTTCAGTTCATTGTTTCTACTACATATTAAGTTCTCTGGTTTGCATACTGACAGAAAACAAGAAGTAAACACTGAGCTCCCAAGTACTAAGTGCTAATGAAACCCATTTAAGAACATAATTACTAACATTACCATAGAAATCTTTTTTAAATGATATGTCCTTCCTACTATAATTCAGTGCTAGTAGGTAAAAACTAAATTTTATGGTGCTCAGTTTTATAGCCACTACCTAGAGCAGAGCTTGCAAGTTTGTAGGTATTCAAGTAATGCATGCACAGATGAATCCCAGTTTGATTTCTGGGATTCTCTGTAACTCCAAATCCAAGTTTAAATTTGAGCCAATTCATAGATGCAAAAGAGTTTTTTAAAGTAAGGTGTCTGAAATACAAAAACAAGTGAAAAGTGCAATTTTGCTGGGAAGTTGAAAAGCTGGACCAGAAGCAGGAGTACACCAAGGGAATCAATGCTGAGGAAAAACTGAAGGTGGTGAGAATCACATGGGGTCAAAGGATAGCATGAGGGCCAATTCGCTAGATCATTTTGAGGCTTTTGCATTGTTTCTCTAAGATGTTTCTGCTTTACCAAGAGTCAAAAGTCACAAGCAAGGAAAGATAGCGGTCTCTTTAAAAGCCAGACATAGAAAATTTTGGATGTAGATAAATTTGCATCTGATAAGAATACTTTCCATTGATAAACAGTGAACTTGGAAGTAAAATTAATAGCTTGTGATAAATGTTTAGAAGAATAGGTTAGAAACTACCAGAGAATCATCACAAGCACCAATGTCATGGTTATGTGAAATGCCTTGTAAAGTCCTAAATCTATACTACATAAATGTGCATACAGGTAACATGGAAGATTCCTTTCTTATTGCAGATGTGGGCTTTAGAAGAAGCATATAGGGTATAGCTGGGCAAATCTTTTAATGAAAAGCCTGACTCACAGCTGGCTATTATCTAAGGTCTTTTCTTCTCTGGCGTCAGGGATAAAGAATGAAAATTTTAGTTCCTTTCTATGGGCAAATGCCTAAGAAGTAGACATAGAATTCCCACTAAGATCGTATTTCCTGGGCTGGCAATGTACCTCAGCAGTATAGCACTGGCCTACCATGCACAAGCCCCCAGTTTGATTTCCAGCACCAAAACAACAAAAAATAACCCATACAAAACTTATTTCCTCCTCAAATGAACCTGCTCTGCTACAACTGCTCAAATAAAGTCAGGGAGAAAGCACTCATATCAAGATTGGCAAACATCAACAACAACCACTACACCTACAATACTACAGGTCCCCTAAGAAGTGTCCCTAAGACAAACACACACACACACACACACACACACACACACACACACCCCACTGTGAAGTTAGAATTGGGTTAGGTATTCTTTTGGAGACAAAGGTAGTTTTTCAAAATACTGATTTAGGAGGGTAGGAAGGAGGAGAACTGTGGGGCTGTGGGGCTCCTCACCCCCATTGCTGAATTCAGCATGGGGGAGAAGTCAGAGAACTGAGAGCTTCCAGAGGATATGTTCAGTGCTTGAAGGTTTCAGAGCCTCAGGAAACAGAGTGTGCCAAACCTCAAGTTCCTGATCGCAGAGATCAGCATTCCCACAGCAAGCTGCCCAAGGAGGATGCAGCCCTGCCCCAGAAGGACCACGGAGAAGAGGAGTATTTTCATGACTGCAGTAACTCATTTGAGGAGTAGGAGCCAGGAGTGCATAAGGTTGAGAACAAAGCTGGTGATGATGCGAATTCCTCTGAGCAAGATGAAGAATACCTAATGGAACTGGAAAAAAACATGCCCGATGAAGAGAAACAGAAAAGAGAAGAGAGCACTAGACTAAAGGAGAAGGGAAACAAACAGTTTAAGAAAGGAGATTATGTAGAAGTGAAAATTCTTACAGTCAAGCTCTTCAGATGTGCCCAGCCTGCTTCCATAAAGACAGGTCTGTTCTGTTTCAAATAGAGCTGCTTCAAGGATGAAACAGGACAAGAAGGAGATGGCCATTGGTGACTGCAGCAGAGCAATTCAGTTAAACCCCAGCTACATCTGGGCAAAATTGAGAAGAGCAGAGTAGTATGAGAAAACAGACAAACTAGACAAAGCCCTGGAAGATTATAAATCTGTATTAGAAAAAGATCCATCAGTATATCACGCAAGAGAAGCTTTTATGACATTACCTAAGCAGATTGAAGAGCGCAATGAAAGACTAAAAGAAGAAATGTTAGGTAAACTAAAGGATCTTGGGAACTTGGTTCTCTACCCTTTTAGGCTCTCCACAGAAAATTTCCAGATCAAACAAGATTCCTCTACTGGGTCGTACTCCATCAGTTTTGTTCAAAATCCAAATAATAATAGATAACAACAGTCATACAAGCTAACTGGGAGGTTGTGTGCTGCTTGCTGTTTGCAAGGGGCAAAGCCCTGCAGCGTTCATTTTCAAAAGCATCTTACCTAAGAGAAAGGCTACCAGTAGAGCCTTATGCCGCCTTCCTGCTCTCGTTTTATAGTCAGACTGAAATGTACTTCCTAGTGTATGAGCCTAATTTGATTTCCATTTAAGGTAGTGTCTATACAGCTGTTGTCCCTGGTTCTGGCTGTCCCTTGTCCAGGAGGAAGCATGCTTGTCAAGGCTGACTTCCTGGAGCCACACAGTGCCCTAATCCTAGCCAGCAGAAGCCTTTCCCTAACAAAGCCTTTGAAGGGAGATGGCCAGTGTGATGAACAGGGTCCCCTCCTGCAGCCCCTCCCTGCTCAGACATGCTCAGAAGCTGCTGTGCAGGGTCTCCAGAACTCCTGGACTTCCTCTGTAGGATTAAAAGCTTTCTGTGACAGTCAAAAAAAAATACTGATTTACTTACCTCATATTACCGATCTCCATGAAAGACAGATTTTCATATCCATCAACACACCTATTTATTTAACCAATATTTACAGGTCCCCTGCCATATACCAGGGCTACTCTAAGCACTGAGGAGATGGTAATAAACAACAGAGATAAAATTACTCTACTCCTGGCCATCACACTGCAGTGAGGAGGCACAGGTGATAAACAGGGGAACAAATATATATATAAAGTAATAATGATCAGTGCTTAGATACAACATAAACAGGGCCCAGGGAGTAAAGGGAGAATTGAATTTTTAGTACAGCAGTCAAAGGAGGCCTCTCTTTGGACATTAAACCAGAGCAGACATCTGAATGAAGTTTGAAAGGAGGATTCATGAGAACTATAAATGAACAAGTTTTCTAGAAAGAGAAAAGAACAGAGCTTAGGCAGAATCAGCCTTGACAGGAATGAGGAACTGCAAGGAATGACAATGTGGCTGGAAAAGACTGAGCAAGAGGAAGAGGATAGGAGTTGTGGTCTGAGAGGCAGCAGGGGATAATAGCAGACTACAGAGAACACTATCAGCCAGTGTCAGTGCTTTTACTCTAAGTAAAAGAAGTCACAAGAAAACTTTAAGAAGAGGAATAACATCAGGTAACCCAAGGTTAAAAGGGTCATTTTGGCTGTCAGGTAGAGAACAGATTGTCGGGGAAAGGATAAAAACAGAACAACTAGTGACAAGGCTATGGTGATAATCCAGGAAAGAGATGTGACACCTGGACCGAGCAATGGCAACTGGGGTGATGAAAAGCAAAACCCAGGAACGATTAACTATAAGAATTCACCTAAATTTCTCTCTCTATGGGTTGCTATCTTCATCATCCAAAGCCTCTCTTCTCTTCTCTTTCTATATATATCACATATAGAAGACATAGCACGTCTTGTTTGCAAAGTTGATGCTCTGTGAACATGCAAAATCACAAATCCAAAAAGAACAACTGGAGTAAAAGGAACCTGAATTCTTCCAAAGTAAGAATAACACTCAATAGGACATGTATCCTCACCCACTGAGAGCAGGTTCCTGAAGTTCTCCAGCATCACATCGTGGTACAGCCTCCTCTGAGCAGAGTCCAGCAGCCCCAGCTCCTCCTCAGTGAAGGCCACAGCTACATCCTTGAAGGTCACTGCTTCCTACAACAAACACACGTGACCTCAATCTTACAGCCAATGTCCACTGGAAGAAAGGTAGCACTGAGAAGGTGAGTAGGATGCGTGGGATGTTTCTCGGGATTCTGAGTCATTTGTAGTTCCTCCAGCCCTTTTCCTTCCAGCTCGCCAACACTATACACTGATTCTCCCTCAGATTTACCCAAATGCTCCTACGAAAAACAAACTTTTGAACATTTGTGTCAGTGAGGTAAAGTACTCAATGACCATTGTAATAAGTTAATTCCCAAAGAACTCCAACTGCTGAATCCTAAATTTAAAAGGTTTTACACTTTAATATTGCCAATTTCCCCCAAATTGTGTACCAATTCAGCGCCACCAATGTTTGACAGTACCAGCCTTCCACTGAGGCAAGAGCCGGGTGTGTAGTAGCAATAGGACCTGGCAACCCTCTGAATGACAGCCTCCTTCTGGTTCTTCCTGTCTGTCTTTCACTAGAGTGATCTTCAATTTTTCCACACGAACTTCAGCGGGTTCCTCATTTCCCACAACCACTTCTCTTTCGGTCTGACGTGAAGATGAGCCAAAGACCTCCTCACACAGCTGCTCAGAGGCACGAGTGCAGTGAGGAAGGCCAAGTGCCTGGCAAGTCCTTTAGAATCAAGAGACTTTACACTCAGGTCACGCAGTACTTTGATTTTAAAAAATATGAAAAGGAAACAATGAATCAGGAAGTAAACTACACACAGGGTATGACCCAGGTTCCTGTTGTAGGAAAATGGCTAAAGAAATTTCTCTTATGGGAAGCAGGAAATCTGAAGCATTGGGCCACATTTCAACATTTTAGCAAAACATCCAAGGAGCCACATATAAATCAGACCTTTTCAATTTTGGATATCTACTATGTTAAGAGTTTTTAAAAGGTAATATTTCTCAAAATGGTTGTTTTCGGGAAAATGTTAAATGCAGGAAAACTGACTCTGTCGTGTCCTTAAACCAGTAAAAGCCCCAAACTGCCTGTCTATAGAGAGAGAATACTTTAAAATAAATGTTATATAACATTAAATGAAAACACCACAAATTAAATTTTTACTTAGGGTTTGGTGGTGAGCTCAATGGTACAGTATTTACCTTGTATGCATAAGGCTGTAGGCAACAATCAACCCCATAAAAACTAAATTAAGTTCTAAAATTGTATTTAGAACGAGGTATGGTGGTAAATGCCTGTAATACCAGCAGTTGGGAGCCAGAGGCTGGAAGGGCTCGAGTTTGAGGTCAGCCTGGAATGCACAGTGAGACCTTCTTTCAAAAAAAAACAAATAAAAGGGCTGGGCACACACCTGTGATCCCAGGTACTCGGGAGGCAGAGGTGGGAGGAGTGCAGGCCAAAGCCACCAAGGCAGTTAGCATGAGACCTTGTCTGAAAAACAAACTAAAAGCAAAAGGACTGGGGACATATTCAAATGGCAGAGCGCTTGCCTAGCCAGCTCAGGCACTTAGTTCAATCCCCCATACCACCAAACAAAATGTATCTATGTTATAAACACAAATATGTAACTATAAACAATATGATGATGTTACAGTAATTTAAAAGCAGCCAATTTGTAAGCAGAATAGACATAAAGGAGATTTCACTTACATCTGTTAATTTTCTACCTATATTTGCAAGTTAAAAAGTGATGAAATGAAACAAAAACAAAACCAAAGCCACTTGAATTTAAAAGGAACACCTCAAATGCCAGGCTCTCTTGAAAAAGAAAACTTCTAATCTCTAACTATTGATGTGGCTTTTTTTGGATATGTATGAGACTGGGGTTTGAAGTCAGGGTTTGCAAGGCAGGTGCTCTACCACTTGAGCCACACCACCACCCATTTCTGCACTGGTTATTTTAGAGACAGGATCTTTTTTTTTGCCCAGGTCTGTCTGAACCACAATTTTCTTATTTCAGGCTTTTGCTATAGCTGGGATAACAGGTGCTTTTGTTCTGCTGAAATGGGGATCTCTGGAAGTTTTTTGCAGGGGTTGGCCTCAAACTGTGATCCTCACAATCTCAGCCTCCCATGTCACAAACGTGAGCCATCAGTACCCAACATAAAGTGCATTTTTACTAGTGAAAAAACAAGCTCTACTTACCTTGAAAATGCTCATCTTTAATTCTTCCTTCTGGGAAAGCCCAGAGTCCTATAAAGACAGAATGAGGAAAAGAGAGCCATCAATGGAACCTGAGCAAGTACTGGCACTAATCCACGTGGCTGCTCCTTGTGAATTAGAGAAGGTGCTTGTTTCTTGTGGCTTACAAGCAGAACATGACAAGGACACCATTATCCCTTCATTCCTCTCAGCAGCGGTGCACACAACAACACGCCCAAGCACACAGTGGCCCTGTCACCAGGGCACCTGCACTTCCACAATAGTGACTGTACTCTAGGCATGGGACAGAGTGTCATAACAGAAGCAAGAGGAGCTCTACCACTAATGTGCACAGCCACTCACCTTGGGGAGACTTTAACTTCTCTTTGCTGCAGCTCTGTCTTCTGCAAGTGGAACCCCTCCCACAGATCAACCTAGCATGATTCTTGCAAAGTAAAACAATGTCAGAGTCTCTTTCTTTGCAACGGCAGGAAACAAGTGATAATCTAGTTTGAAGTTATCCTTAAAAATCTGATTTCTACCAGTAAAGTATTTTAAGCTGTCTGGAGCTCACAGGTAGTGGCTATTTCATGTAACTTTCTTACAAGTCCTGAAAAAACTCTTCCTGTCTTTTTAATAATTTGCTACCATAACAAATATATTTGTTTATCTCTCTGTCTGTCCATCTATCTTATCTATTTTTCTGGTTCTGGGGTTTGAACCCAGGGCTTCACACATGCTAAACTCATGCTTTACCACCGAGCTACACTCCCACACTTGATAACTCTTTTTAAGTGGAAAGTGCTATCTGGGCACATATGCATGGAGGGAAAAAATTAAAACAAAAAAAATTAATACAACATAAGATGTGCAATAAGAAATAGTGGGACAATCTTCACCTAATGTAAATGAAAAAGACAGGAATCTGAGTCCACAATGTTAGAAATAAATAAACAGGTAAAAAGAGAAAGCTCCTGCTGTGGTAGAATGCATAAGCCAACATGTGTGCAATGAAAGATCAGTAGAAAATCACCAACAGATAGCAAGAAACCAGCGAAAGTGTGCTGAGGAGTAAGATACAATCTCAAAGAATTGACCGCACAAAGAAAAGGATAACCTGGTGGATACCTTCACAAAAAAACAAAGTGGAGACCACTTCGGGCAAACCCACAGGACATCTGACTGTCACATGATGCATGGAGAAGGTGCTCAATATCACTTCTATGGACTCTCTCCTGATAATGCCCGGGCTGAACGCAATTATAAACACATGTCAAATAAGCCATAAAAAGGGACATTCCACCAAAAGATTTGCAAAGACTTCACAAAATAAGAGCCCAGGAGCAAAAGAAAGTCTGAAGAACCATTCTACATTAAAGTGACTAACGAAAAAAAAGCTAAGCACAGTGCATAGAATCAAACTGTCCTCTGATCTGGGGTGGGAGGGGATTGCTCTCCAAGATCTCACTGGGAAAACTGAACAAACTTAATCCTAGTCTGTGGATTAGATAACAGCATAATGTCAATGTAATTGATTTCATTTTATCACTGTCTCTAGTTTGCTCTCATATGCTTCAGCAAAAAAGCATGTATGTAGGGCATAATCCCATATGTATCATACACTCACAAGGTAGTTATTGCATATGACATAATGACATTATACATATAGATGACAAAGCTGTGAAGATAGCTCTCACAGCCATCAGGAGCAAGAGCCAGACTTGGTGTTTTCAGCTGACTAACAAGAATGAGGCAAGGCCACTCGGTGACCAAGAAAAAAGAAGAGTCTGTAACCCAGAGAAACTTCCCATGTGATCAAAATATGTATGAATAACCAAATAACTGTCTCCTGGCTAAGAGGAGTAACCTCTTCGTTACCTGCAACAACTCCAATCTCACTGTTTCTCCTACCTAGGTAAAATTCATTACACTACTCAGTCAGCAAACTGCTTCTGCCTTTGACAGCATCCAATCCACAACAAACCTTCCCTGCCTAAACCTCTCCCCAACTCAGCCAACCCATGCCAGTAGTCAGCTAAAGAAACTCACCTGTCCTCAGCTGCACACTGCTATCTAATCCACAGTTCACATTTAAGTTTCTTCCATTTTCCCACTATGTGCCTGGGGTTATTTGACTGATGGCCACCAACAGAGCAAAATGCACACATTGGGGAGGGTTGAAATATTTGGACTGAGTGGGATCCAAGGCAGCCATGTCAGTGTATTCTGTGCCATCTCACAGGGTCTGCATTGCCTGAGCATCTCAAATTTTCACCTTCACAGGAATCACCTGGGGAACTTGTAGGAATGCAGAGTCCTGGGTCTTATCTGCAGAAATTCCAAATTAGAAGGTCTTTGGTGGAGCTTACAGGCATCCCCTCCAGGAGAGGGTGGTTTGGGAACCAGAGTTTCAGAAGCCCTGGCAGGGAACTATCATTCCAAAACAAAACAGCTTCCACTATAACTGAAATACACACAAGAATAACTTGACCAAAAAAGGCAGCAAAATGTTAATAATTGGTATATTTCTATCCTAAAGTTATGGGCGACACGTTTATTTCTTGAAATTTCCGTATTTTCTGGAATTTCCACAATTACATGTTACATCTGTAATATAAAATTATTTGAAGTAAACAAAACGAAATATGTGAGACATAAACTATTTTAAAATCCTCATTCAACAGCCCAAACCTTACTCTCCAGCTCTAAACAACCTGCTTCACATGGAACCAGCCAGTTTCCTCTGGCTCGGAAAGAACAGACCCTTAGATTATGAACGCAGGTCTGGACTCAGGCTGACCCGGGTCCAGGGCCAGCCCTGCTACCCACTAGCTGTGCGTGCGACAGTTTATGACCCGCGCCTCAATCGCCTCGTCTTTAGGGTAGGAAAAGTCATCCGTATAAAACCTTCAGAAGGGAACCGATGCTCCTATGATCCGTCCGGTGTCAGAGGACGTGACCTCACCTCCGCCGTGCGCGTGGTCACCTCTGTGGAAGTGACAAGCCTTGCTCACGTGGGACTCTGCTGTCTCCTGTCGCGTGCGGTCAGGGCTGGGGGAGGAAGGAAGGAAGGAAGGACGGCGGGGAGACAGCAGGACTGTGTCTCTAGAGCTGACAAATCGCAGTTCCAGCTAGACGCAAAGCTCATGGGGTGGGGACACCCCCACTGCGTCCTGGGAGACATTACAGGAGCGTGGAAAACACAGTCCTATGAGCCAGGCAGGCTGAAACAGTGTGTTAGTAGATGACTTTTTCTCAAATACTGTGTTAGAAAGGAAGAACTTGCAGCTCCCGTTTCCAAATCAGCAAACGCAGTCACTCACCGCCCCAGGTGACGCGGCATGAAGTGACAGGCAGGCTCGCGGGTGGAGCAGCCGCAGCATGGGAGACTGGCTCCGCGCCGACCCAAAGAAGCTCCGCCCTGGGGGACGCAAAACGGCGCTCACGCCTCAAACCTCCGCTCTCAGCCCCTCCTTCCTTTTCACCCCAAAGGAAGGAATGCCAACTGGTGGTCCCAAACGCATTTTGGAGAAATACGTAAGGTGCCTGGGAAGCGGAGTTCATCACTGAAGCCAGTAAAACAGGGATACTTCGCCCGCCTCCAAGGGCGGAAGTGCCTGTGACTACCAGGAGCTTCCGGACTGCGTTTCCCAGAAAGGCCCAGCATTGTGCCCCTGAGCCGGAACTGCCTGTGACTAACAGGAGGTCCTGAACTACACTTCCCAGAGTTCCGCGGGAGGAAACCGTTGACAGTTGGACGTAACTGTAACTGCGCAGTGCTCTGGACTGCAAGTCTCAGAATGCTAGGGCGCGGGAAACCGCCACTCTACCGCCCTCCTGGACTACACTTCCCGACAAAGCCCAGCCCGCCCTTCTGATGCGGAGATGTCCGATTGATTATTCTACCCAGCCGGTTTGCCCTTTCCAGGTTTCCTGAGGTCTTGGGCAAATGTCTACTCATTGCAGTGTTTTCTGCCCTAGAAAAGAATGGATGCTGTTGATTTTAAGACTGAGTAGCACTTTAGACATTGTTGTGGTATGAATGGATCACCCCCATAATCCATTTGTTGAAATTCTAACCCCCAAGATAATGGCATTAGGAGGTAGAGCCTTTGAATTGCATCATGAAAAGGACAGTGCTCTCAGAGGAATGTCCTGAGGGAGCCCTTTCGCTCCTTCAGTCGTGTGAGGACACAACCAGAAGGTAGTATGCACCAGAAGCAAGCCCTCGACACACAAATCTACAGGAACCTTGATCTTGGACTTTCCAGCCTTCAGAACTGTGAGAAACAAATTTATGTTCCTTATAAACTACCCAGTTTATGGTGTTTTATTACAGCATATCCCAAATGCACTAAGACAGACATATTCAAGGTGTCCTTGCCTCTCACTTGAGGCTTCTTGGTAAACCAGAAAGACCTTCACCACAGGAGTAAGGGGAAAGGTAACCCGACTTTCTATAGTAGGGACTAAAACCAACTAACAAATCCCTAAAGATGAGTACATGTGGATGCGTTTTGTTAGCATCTTCTGGCCCTTGGGGAAGTGAATAAAAAATACTCTAGAGAAAGACACCACCAAAAAGATTTTAGGAATCATTGGTCATTCTCTCGTGGGACTTTGGTTAGAACTCAGGGCCTCATGCAAGCACCTGTCCTACTTAGCCACACCCCCAACTCCTTGACCATTCTTGCAAGAAGCAGTTATCACTGATGGTTGTCAAACATTGATTTTTAACTATATCATTCCTTCTACTGTATATCTTAGCATAAAGGAGAGCGTTTTCACCCTTTTCTCTCTGCCCTAGTCCTCATTTTACTGGTAAAAAGATTTCGTTTTGGCCATTTGGAATCAACACAAGCTGGAGCTTCTGCCTTTTTACCTGTTCCACTGTTTTTTTTCTACTTTGTGGCAGTGGAAAAAAATGTTCCAGGCTCATTTAGTACTTGCCCTGGCCAGCCCTGTAAAATCAGCTATTCTTCAAGGAATCACATTTTGTATTGTAGAATGGTATTTAGAAATAAACATCTGGGTGCTGGGTGCTCACTGCTACTGGGGATCATTGGTTTTCAGCCCATTAGGAGACTAGAGCTAGTAAATAGTTATGTGGAGATACATACTTAAATACACCGTGTGTGTGTGTGTGTGTGTGTGTGTGTATGTTTGTGCGCATATCCACACACATCTGTATCTACTTCTGTAAATTCCAAGCTAGGCACATTTGACATGCATGAAACTGGTTCACAAAGGCTGTTTTCCTAGGGTGGGGCTTATCCATTGCCCTCAGGCTATGTATAACACTACAATTCCTTTCTTTTGTTTTTCATTCCTTTTTACTCTTTCATAACCTATCCCTGCAATTTCTGAAAATGTAGGAAACTTAACTGCATAATTTGTGGCAATGGGGGACTGTGTTTGTGCTATCTCCTGCTCAAAAAGAAAGTAAAAAGGAAGAAAAGTCAGGTGCAATGACTACTTGGAAGTGTTATAGAGGTTAAAATTTATTTGGGTTTAATTTACCAGATTTTGATACAAATTATCTTTAAAAAAAAAAGATGATCTACTGTGGTATCTAGTGATAAGAAGAAAAGAGAAAAAGAGAATGCATGTATTAGATTTCTTTTGTTTCAGGTGTTGTTTTCTGAGACGTGGTCTATGTTGCCCAGGCTGCTTTCAAACCCCTAGGCTCAAGCAATCCTTCCACCTCAGCCTCCACAGTAGCTGAGACCACAAGTGTGAATTATCGTACCCAGCAAAGTACTAAAATCTCTGATGCTTTGTACAGAAGGAGTTAACACAGGACTGAGACTACTATTCTTAGAAACGATTCCTTGCAACATACTATGAATTGAATGATGGTGTCCCCTCCAAAATTCATGCTGAAACTCAATTCCCTCTTCCCCTTCCACCTCTTCCATTACATTTGTCCTCTCTGACAACTGCAGCAACAGGATACCATCTTGGAAGCAGTATCACCAGACATTCAACCAGTTAGGGCCTTCACCTTAGAATTCAAAGCCTCCACAAAAGTATTAAATGACTTTATTTTGTTTATAAGTTACCCAGTTTGTGGAATTGTTATAGCTGCATGAATTGAGTAGTCACATGTTTGAGAATCTGGATTTAGGGAGGATTCTCACAACTCCCTGCTAAGAGAGACTCACTGTGTCTAAGCTATTTGTACAATGTGGTTTATGTCCAATGCATACCTTCTGTCTGGGAGTCTGGAATTTTGGAATAAACTAGGCGGACGTTGCCTGTGTCCAACTCCTCATGAAGACCTACGTCAAGTGTACAGTGAGTTTCTCTGATAGACATTTTACACGTGCAGTTAAAATTCAATGTGGCAGGAATTTAGCACATCAGCTTTTTACTAATTCTTCCAGATTTCATTCTGCTCCCTCTTCCCTTGGCTCAATGTATTTTGCATCCTTTCACTGTAATAAGTCCTAAGCCTAAGTATGACAGTATGAAGTGTCTTGTGAGTCCTCTTAGCAAATCACACAATATGGACGTGGTTTTAGGGACAACCCATATAGTATGCAAATTAAGATAGCATCCCATGAAGGAATGCTCCAATAAATCAGCTATGGAACCTGGTCACCCAATTAATATAATTTGCTGAGTGAAGTCCTTCCTCTCATCAACATCAAAAACACCAGTATCATTTCTCAGTAATATGGAACGACATGTACACCAAATTCCTACCAAGGAACACCAGCCTCTGTTTACCTTGTCCTTACTGGTTCCACATCCAGAAAAAGGTCCACTGCTATTATGCTATGTTCTCTCTTGGTACATACCTTTTCTTCAGGAAACTTGTTTTTAATACTTCCACAGTATATGTAAATCTTATTTGGTCCAGGATTTGCTTTCTGCCACTTCTGGAATTATGCATTAAAAAGTGTAGCAGAGGGAGATTCCAAGATGGTGAGTAGAGGGAGGAAGAAGAAAGTGTGCTTCCTAAAGTAAAATCTTGGAGAGATGCTGGAGATACACCTTGCAGGAAAAACCACCAAGAAGAGGTAAAACTCCAACACCACCACACCCCCAGCTCACGCATTAGCATCCCTACTCTACAGTAAATGGAGAAACCAGGAGGGCTCCCACGCCACCACACACCAGCTCCTACCAGCTTGAGAGACACAGACCACAAGGTGAGCTAACTGGCATGCGGTACCTGCACAAACAACCCTGGTCAGATCAGCATAGCCCCCTGGACAGACTGACCCCACCCAGGGAAAAAAAGAGGAAAAAATCTGAATAAAGAACAACAAAAACAAAAAGACATGTAGCAAAGAGGGTGGGGCGCCCTGACCACTGAGGAGTGGGGAGGGGCAATCCCTCCTGGAACTGTAGATAAATAAGCTGGCTGGAGAAGGAAGGAGTGGTGGCCCCACCAAGCAACCTTGGAGGGGGAAAGCTTGTAACAGTGTTGTGAGGAGGGTTCCACTGGAGAGTGGGGAAAGGGCACTTCCCACACGATCGGTAAATAAACAAGCCGGCCAGAGAAGGCAGATGTAGTGCCACCTCCCCCAGTGTGCTTGCAGAAGGGAAGGCTTGTAACAGTGGTCGCTGCATCCAGGAGAACTCTAAATAAACAAAGCCTGTGGACCTAGGTGAGTATCAAGCTCGTTCCTGAGATCTGCAATCAATAAAGCCTGCAGCAACAGCTGGCTAACAGCAGCGGGCAGGTGAGCCACAGCCTCAGATAGCCATTCACAGAACTGCCTCCAGACTCTTATTTTTTTCTTTTTTTCTCTTCCTTTGATGAGACAAAAACAGAACTACAATTGGAAGCTGAAGGATTCAAATTCCATTTGAACTTGGGATTTTTGTTTTGTTTTGTTTTTGTTTTCTTGTTTTTTCTGTTGTCTGTTTTTGTTTTTTTTTTTCCCCCTTTGATGAAACAACAACCGAACTAGTTCTGGGACACCATCTCCAGGATTGGAGGCTGAGGGACTAACACCAAAATTATTAAGACTGAAACTTTATTGCATTTGAACTTGAGGATTTTTTTTTAATAATCTCTCTGTCTCTCTAATGCTTGTTTAGCTTACCATTGATTAGTGCACTATCTCTCCCTGTATATTTCTTTGGGACTGTTTCTTTTCTTGTTGTTATTGTTTGTTTGTTTTTTCAATTGTTTGTTTGTTTTTCCCTTTTTCTTTACTTTCTTTACTTTCCTCTCCTCTCACCCTTCCATTCTAGATATCACCATTATTATTATTACAAGCTAGACAATACTGAATTACACACAGTACAGGGACAGTAACAAAAGCAAGGGGAATGACGGGAAGATGGAAAAAAGAGGGAAACCAGTTTTACCCCGGTAAAAAATTAGTACAGGAACCAGAAGGAAATGAAGAAAAAAGATACTCAGATCCAGACTCCAACAAAATGAAGAAAAATTATGCCAAAGAAACCAATGAAGCCCACAAGAACACTCTGAAAGAAGAAATCCTACAAGTAATCAATGAGAATTTTATAGAGATGATACTGGATATGGTCAACCAAAATGTACAAGAGACAATCAAGAAATTCTAAGACAACAAAAAGGGAGAATTTGAGAAAGCACAAGAACAAATAAAAGAAACTATAGAGGCACTGTGTAAACACCAAAGTGAAACAAAGAACAAGATAAATAAAGAGATAAATGAACTCAGGATGAAAGTAGACAATATTAAAGAGGAAGGAACTCGGGATATGGAAACCTCAGAAAAAAGAACAGAACAGAAATTCAAAACAAAATGGAAAGCCAATCCAGCAGAATAGAACAAACAGAAGACAGAATCTCAGAACTTGAAGATGAAATGGTAATTAAAGGAAAAACCAAAAAACTATTAGTTAAACAACTCAAGACCTGTGAAAGGAAAATGCAAGAACTTACTGACTCCATCAAAAGACCAAACCTGAAAATCATGGGCATTGAAGAAGGAGAAGAGGTACAAGCAAAGGGAATGCGTAATATATTCAACAGAATAATTACAGAAAATATCCCAAATCTAGACAAATCTATGCCCATACAGGTGCAAGATGCCTCCAGAACACCAAACAGACCTAACCAAAATAGAACTACCCCATGGCATATTATAATGAAAACAACAAGTACAGAGACTCGAGAAAGAATATTGAAGTCTGTGAGACAGAAAAAACAAATAACATACAAAGGTAAACCCATCCAATTCACAGCAGAGTTCTCAACAGAAACATTAAAAGCAAGAAGAGCTTGGGGTGAGATATTCTGGGCACTGAATGAAAATAACTTCAACCAAGGATACTCTATGCAGCAAAACTATCATTCAAAATAGAGATGGAGCAATAAAAGTCTTCCATGATAAGCAGAAATTAAAACAATATGTGACCACAAAGCCACCACTACAAAAGATTCTTCAAGGGATTCTGCACACAGAAAGTGAAACTCAACATAACCATGAAAGGGCAGGCAGTACCAAACTACAGGAAAAGAAAAAGCAAGAAAGTAGAGTAACATCGACTTAGATACACACAATCAAACAATCAAACAACTAAGACAACTAAATGACAGGAATCACAACATACCTATCAGTACTAACACTTAATGTTAATGGACTTAATTCCCCCATCAAAAGGCACTGTTTGATGAACTGGATTAAAAAGGAAGACCCAACAATTTGTTACTTACAGAAGACCCATCTCACCAACAAAAATAAGCATAGGCTTAGGATGAAAGGCTGGAAGAAGATTTACCAAGCCAGTGGCCCCCGAAAACAGGCAGGAGTAGCAATACTTATCTCTGACAGAGTAGACTTCAAACCTACATTGATCAAACAAGATAAAGAAGGAAATTCCATACTAATAAAAGGGGAAATAGACCAAAAGGAAATAATAATTATCAACCTATATGCACCCAATGGCAACGTACCCAATTTCATCAAACATAACCTGAATGACCTAAAACATATATTAACTCCAACACAGTGGTTGTGGGAGAGTTTAGCACCCCATTATCATCAATAGATAGGTCATCCAAACAAAAAATCAATAAAGAAATCCTAGATCTAAAATATACCAATAGATCAAATGGGCCTACTTGATGTCTACAGAACATTTCATCCAACTTCTACCCAATATACATTCTTCTCAGCAGCCCATGGAACCTTCTCCAAAATAGATCATATCCTAGAGCACAAAGCAAGCCTCAGCAAATATAAGAAAATAGAAATTATACCATGCATTCTATCTGATCACAATGCAATAAAACTAGAACTCAACAACAATAAAGACAAAAAACACACAAACAGCTGGAAACTGAGTAACTCATTGCTTAATGTAACAATGGATCATTGGTGAAATAAAAGAGGAAATTAAAAGTTCTTGGAAGTCAATGAAAATGAAAACACAACCTACCGGAACCTATGGTACACAGCAAAAGCAGTCCTGAGATTAAAGTTTATAGCCATGAGTGCATATATTAAAAAGACTGAAAGATCCCAAATCAATGACCTAATGATACATCTCAAACTCCTAGAAAAACAAGAACAAGCAAATCCCAAAACAAGTAGAAGGAGAGAAATAATAAAAACAAGAACTGAAATCAATGAAATAGACACCAAAAAAAACATACAAAGAATTAATGAAACAAAAAGTTGGTTCTTTGAAAAAATAAACAAGATCAATAGACCCCTGGCAAACTTGACCAAATAAAGAGAGAAAAAACCCAAATTAGTAAAATCAGGAATGCAAAAGAGGAAATAAAAACAAACACCATGGAAATCCAGGAAATCATCGGAGACTACTTTGAGAACCTATATTCCAATAAATTCTCCCAAAATTAATGAACCAATAAAGAAATGGGCAAGTGAACTAAACAGAACTTTCTCAAAAGAAGAAATTCAAATGGCCAAAAAACACATGAAAAATGCTCACCATCTCTAGCAATAAAGAAAATGCAAATTAAAACCACACTAAGATTCCACCTCACCCCTGTTAGAATAGCCATCATTAGCAACACCACGAACAACAGGTGTTGGCAAGGATGTGGGGAAAAAGGAACCCTCTTACACTGCTGGTGGGAATGTAAACTAGTACAACCACTCTGGAAAAAAATTTGGAGGCTACTTAAAAAGCTAAACATTGATGTACCATTTGATCCAGCAATACCACAATTGAGGATATACCCAAAAGACTGTGACACAGGTTACTCCAGAGGCACCTGCACACCCATGTTTATTGCAGCACTATTCACAATAGCCAAGTTATGGAAACAGCCAAGATGCCCCAGCACTGACGAATGGATTAAGAAAATGTGGTATTTATACACAATGGAATTTTACGCAGCCATGAAGAAGAACGAAATGTTATCATTCGCTGGTAAGTGGATGAAATTGGAGAACATCATTCTGAGTAGGTTAGCCTGGCCCAAAAGACCAAAAATCGTATGTTCTCCCTCATATGCGGACATTAGATCAAGGCCAAACATAACAAGGGGATTGCACTTTGATCACATGATAAAAGCAAGAGCACACAAGGGAGGTGTGAGGATAGGTAAGACACCCAAAAAACTACATAGCATTTGTTGCCCTCATTGCAGAGAAATTAATGCAGAAACTTTAAAGTGACAGAGGCCAATAGGAGAAGGGGAACAGGAACTAGAGAAAAGGTTAGTTTGAGAAGAATTAATTTAGAAGGCAACACACATGTACAGGAAAGCAATGCGAGTCAACTCTCTGTATAGCTATCCTTGTCTCAACTAGCAAAAACCCTTGGTCCTTCCTATTATTGCTTATACTCTCTCTTCAACAAAATTAGGCATAAGGGAAAAATAGTTTCTGCCTGGAAGTGAAGGGGTGGGGGGAAGAGGGAGGGAGCGGGGTGATAAAGGGAGGGGGCAGGGGAAAGGGGGAAGAACTGACCCAAACATTGTATGCACATATGTGTAAACTTTTTTAAAAAGTGTAGCAGATACTGTTGTCCACATTTACCAATTTATCTGTGTATTCAAAGCACCAGAGAATTATTTTGTTTTTGAAACTGGCTTCCGGAGTCCATGAATTCGTTTTGATTTTTTGTGCCACAGAGCAGTAGAGAGTGACAGTGGAGGCTTTAAGTGTAAGAGATTATTACTTAGTACTTTTCCAGACTCTACTGTGCATAAGCTACTGCTTTGGCAATGCTGATGCTCAGTAAAAAACTGAAGTATAACTTATGAAATTACAAAATGGAAAAATTTCCACAAAGTGCTCATTGCTAGGGAAAGATCACTTTTGGAAGAATGTTCCTTTACACATTATCTTACACACACACACACACACACTCATGCACCAAGAGCTGAGTTCAGTTATGCTATAAAGGCAACAATCTATGATCTACAAAGCCCATGCATTTCTCCTGTTATTACAGATATTGCCATCATTTTAATTGCTTTGGTTGATATAGGGCTAACTATATCTAAACCCAAATTCCTACCAAGGTGTACATTCTTCCATTAAAAAACCAATTCAATGGCATTATTCATATGTTACTTATAGTTCTAGAATGTTAATCTCATAGTCATAAACTGAAGGTGGGTATAGAGACTCAGGCCAGTAACCCCTGATGCTCAGGAGTCAGAGATCAGAAGGATTGCCATGTGAGACCAGCCCAGACACAAACTGGTTAAGACCCTACCTGAACAAAACAAGCTGGGTGTGATGACATACATCTATAATCCCAGCTACATGGGAGGCATGGGTAGTAGGATCACAGTCTGTGGCTGGCCCATGGCAAAAAGTGCAAGATTCTATCTAAAAAATAACGAAAGCATAAAAGGGCCAGTGACAGGAGCACCTGCATGGAAAAGCATGAGCCCTGAGTTGAAACCCCAGTACTGACAAAAACATCATAAAATTAATTCCAAGTATATGACTTCCAGCTCAAAGAAGTACACAATTTACCTTCTGATATACACTTTGCCCAACCATGCTTTCTGCTTCCGATAGGGGAAAGTATATGCATGTCAATTCTGCTTCAAATACATTCGGTGAAATGATCAAACATCCGCAAGTTCTTTTCGGTATTTGCGTTGTGGAGATGGGAACATGACATGGAAAGAGAACGCTGTGGTAATTAAAAGGCAATCATTTCAAAGTCTGGATAGAAATGCAGAGAATGAGGGATCACAAGTAAATTCAGTCTATAGAGAAATTCTGTCATTGGTTACTACTTCTGACACTTCCAAAGTGTTGCATTAAATCACCTAGTGCTACTGGGTAAACATTCAACTGTGTAATATTCAGAAACCTGTTACTGTCAGATAAATAAAACTGTTTAGCAACAGCCACAAAAATCATAAAAGACAGTTCAGCGTATAAAGTATAATACCCATGGCAAAGTAGACAGGGATCCAGGAAGAACCCAACTTGAGAGCAGAGGCTGGAGGTAGAACAGGAGTCAGGTGCAATAGGGTGACACCATTTTAACATGGCAGGATGCAGATCCACTGGTTTTCTGCATTTCAACAAACACTCATTTCCCTGAATAATTTTCTTTTGACGGCTTCCTCCTCTGTGTACCATTTTCATTTATTCTACATGTTTTCCTTTTGACTCATTTAACAAGTACTGAAGATACCAAAACCCGTCATCAATGTTGAGGCCATACATACCCAACAGCAATGGTCCTGCCCCATGGAGCTTACAGTCTAGTGACATGCACTCTGGTACACTTCAAACAATACTTTTGCTAAAGGCCCAGTCACCCTCATTTCCTTTCAAAGTCCTCCTTCCTAAGTGACATCTGATAAATGTCTGAGTTCTGACTGAAACCTTTCCAGTACCACTTGCAAGGTGCTCAGCTGGGTGGCGTTTGCTCAGTATTACATAAACAGTGTCAAGTAAACCAAATATTTTTCTTCTATGAAGCATAATGAACATGAGAATTCAGGTCACACATGAGGTTTTTCAATAATGTCACTTTGCAGAACTTCCTTGCTCTGACGATTGACTAATCTTCTTACCTCTCTTATCGCTTTCATAAAGCGTATCACTAGCGTGAGTTTTATGATGACTTACAAGATTTGATCGCCAGCTGAAGCTCTTATTACACATCTCACACTTGTAAGGCTTCTCCCCTGTGTGAACTCTCTGATGAGACTGGAGCTGTGAAGACCGACTGAAGACTTTACCACACACATCACATTTGAACGGCTTCTCTCCAGTGTGGACACTCTGGTGAAGTTGAAGACTTGAGGCCTGACTGAAGTACTTACCACATTCCCCACACTTATATGGCTTTTCTCCTGTGTGGACCCTCTGGTGCATGTCAAGATTCAAGCTCCACTTGAAGCCCTTCCCACACTCCTCACATTTGTATGGCTTTTCCCCAGTGTGGACTTTTTGGTGAGCTTGAAGGTGTGCGCTCCGACCAAAGCTCTTCCCACACTCTTCACATTTGAATGGCTTTTCTCCACTGTGGACTCTCTGATGGGCCAGAAGATGTGAAGCCTGACTGAAGCCCTTCCCACACTCCTCACATTTATAGGGTTTCTCTCCTGTATGGATTCAACAATGAATCTTAAGATCTGCTCCCTGGCTGAATCCCTTTCCACACTCTTCACATTTGTATGGTTTCTCACTTGTGTGGATCAGCTGGTGAATCTGAAGCCGTGAATTCTGATTGAAGCCCTGTCCACACTCCTCACACTTATAAGGTTTCTCTACGCTTAACATGGATCTTAAGATAGGAACTCTGGGAAAGGCTTTCCCACTTGCATCACATTTATAGAGATGAACTTTGTTCATGGATTTTCATCTTGAAGCTTTTCCCACACTCCTTGCATTGGTAGGGCTTTTCAAGTGTGGACTCCTTGACGGGCCTGAAAACTTGAACTGTAAACAAAGCCCTTGTCACACAGTTGACATACATATGGTTTCTTTCCAGAGTGGATTGTCCGATGGGCCTGAAATCGTGAAGGTTGAGTAAAGCACTTACCACAGTCTTCACAATTACATGGTTTCTCTCCCATGTGGACGCGCTGATGGATATGCAGATTCGAGCTACCAATGAAATGCTTCCCACACTCCTCCCATCTGTAGGGCTTCTCTCCTGTGTGCACTTGCAATGATTATGAAGTGCCGACCTGCAGTGGAAGGTCTTACTGCATCTATCCCATCTGAAAGTCTTCTCCCCAGTGCGGATTCGCTGATGGTCCTGGAGATGGGAAGCATGAATGAAGGCCCTCCCACCTCCTCACAAGTGTAAGGTCTCTCGCCAGTGTGTACTTTGCAATGAACAGGGAGTGTTGATGTCCAACTGAAGCCTTTCCCACACTGCTCACATTTGAATTGTTTCTCTACAGTGTGGACCTTCTGATGAGTTTGCAGATGGGAGCACTGGCTGAACTCCTTTCCATACACATCACACTTGTGGCGTTTCTCTCCCATGTGAACTCTCTGATGAACACGAAGAGCTGAGCTGTAACAGAAGCTTTTTCCACACTAAAGACAGCTATGGGATTTCTCTCCTGGGTGCAACTGCTGATAAAGTTCATAGTTGCAGACATCACTGAAGGACTATTTATACTCTTTACATTGGTAAAGTTTCTGGCCTACATGAGTTATGGATTGTTCTGCTGGAACCTGGCTGGGTGAACCACCTTGTTTGGGTTACTGAGAACTACGTATCATGGAGTTTTGGCATCTGGTTAAGTCACTTGCAATGTATTGCCACATCTGCCAGCATGACAAGTCTTCATGTGGTCCTGCTTCTGGAACAACCTCCATCCCACTTTGGATCTTGTCTGCTGTGAGGACAGAGAATTCGAATATGGATAACCAAATGCTCTGTTCAGAGTTTTCAAGATTTCATACTTAGGAGAGACATGAGATTTTAAAGACTCAGAGGAAGTTCAGTATATCGTTTCTGCTGTGCATCGTGGTTTCTGGTTTGGCTACTTAGAGGAACCAAGACATGGCGTAGTGGGTACTACACACCCATCACTAATAAGATCTACTGAACCATGCCATGTCTCCTATGTGTTACAAGTCAAAGGCTTAATTTGAAAAGTTGACAATATGTCTACGACCATAACACCCTGAACGCACCCGATCTCGTTTGAAAAGTTGATAGTATGTTACAAACAGTTAACCGATTTTCCTTCCTATTTATTTTCAGTCAGCACAGAATCAAGGATAGTAAATTATATACTTAATAAATTATGTACATACAAAAATAGTCTAAATAACAAAACATGAATCAGTAAGAAGTTTAAATAAAAGTACTAAAATAATCAAATACTTTATAGCTTTGGTCCATGTTATATTCTCAAATTAACAAATGCCTACAGATAGCCATATAAACATTTAGAAGTTTTTTTTCCAATAAATTCTTCGAATGAAGTTTAAAAAGTACTTGGGAGGGAAACATTTGCTCCCCTCCTTGGAAAGGAGGATTATTGGAAAGTTACTTTAACATTTAGGTGACTAGACAGGTTAACATGACTTACAGACTGGAAGCAAGTACCTAAGTACATACTGACTAAAATACAGCACATAAGCAGAGAGTGGAATATTAGCTCCTGTGAGCAAGTTTCCTTCACAAGGACCAAACTTGAGGAAAAATAAGAATCCATGAAGAGTTCTGGGCAGAGGAATGGCAACCTAACTTGTATTTCCAAAGGATTTCTTGACTATGATACAGAAAACACACCTTACACTCTGAGCCGGACACCCAAAAATCCAGGAAAGAGACTTGACAGTTTGGAGACCCATGCCAGCCATAGGGGTGGAGAGAATTTAAAGAGATGGACAAACATCTACAAGGACTCCCAGTCACTTGCTTCTTACGTGAATTCCCTGTTCTCTGGGTCAGTGTCTTCATCACATCAAGTCTGTGTCCTTTTCTAAGTGAAATACATCAGGTTTGCAAGAATGACACCCTATGAATGTGCAGTCACATATTTAAAACAAGCACTCTAGAGGTATATTTCACTGACAATTTGGATTCCTGCTACATACTGATGAATTAATCAAAACCAAGTTATTTCAAAATATTTAAACATGGCCTATTGAAGAAATACTGGTAATTTCAAGGCCTAGAAAGATATACATACATATGCAACACAAAAACCTATTTCTGGGGCTGGAAGCATAGCTCAAACGGTAGAGTACCAAGCACAAAGCCTTGAGTTCACACTGTAGTACTACGAGACAGAGAGAACCTCTCTGTGACCAAGGTCTGTTTTCATTAAAACTCACATTACCAGCCACAGTTTTTGCCACAACACGAGAGCATCAGGCCCACAGATGTGGGGAATCAAGACCTCCAAAGCATGAACACCCTATGACACAAAGTCACTCTAGGTGATTAACATTTAGTGACGGGGATGCCCATCCTCACCCACTGAGAACAGGCTCCTGAAGTTCTCCAGCATCACGTTGCGGTACAGCCTCCTCTGGGCAGCGTCCAGCAGCCCCAGCTCCTCCTCGCTGAAGACCACAGCTACGTCCTTGAGCGTCACCGCCTCCTACAACAAACACACGTGACCTCAATCAATCTTAATATCAAAGGCCATTTGAAGAGGAACAGCACTGAGAAGATGAGGAGGATGAGTGGGAAGCTGATGGACATTCTGAGGGATTTAAATCAATTTGTAGACTTCCCAGCCCATCTCCTTCCATACCGCCAGTGCCACCCGCTGACTGTCCTCAGTCTTATCAACATCCAGAGACTCTGGATGTCATCACTTTCCATGAAGGTCTCCAACAAGCTTTGGGTAGCATGTCTGGAACAGCCATGCCATTCATCTTCTGCACACTAAAGGCATTTGCTAACTGCAGTGTTTCCGTGCCATGCTATGAAGCTATATGACTTTGGACAAATTCACCTAGTTTCATCTCAGTGAAATGGTTCTTTGTTTTTTAAAAGTACTCGGGTTTTGCAGGGCTTTGCACTTACTAGGTAGGCAACCTACAACTTCAACCACATTTCCATCCTTTTTTGCTCTGCATAATTTTGGAGATAGGGTCTCATGTTTTGCCTGGGTCACAGCTTGGACCGTGATCCTCCTATTTATGCTTCCCAAAGTAGCTGAGATGAGAGGTATGTGGCACATGCCCAGCTTTTTTCCATTGAGATGGGGTCTTATAAACTTTTGGGGAGGGCTGGCCTACAACCACGATCCTTTGGATCTCAGCCTCCCACACAGCTTGGGATGACAGGTGTGTGCCACCAGCACACAACTGTGCAATGCTTCTTAGATGACAGAGTTCTTTCAAGAATTAAACATGGGGATACATAGCATTTGGCAGTGTATGGCACAGGCTAAGGGCTTAACAAACATCAGCTATTTACTATTATTATGATTTATTATTTTTAGCATCTGTTTCATCTTTTTTCATGGCTTTATATTCTTCAACAGAACTGATGGGCTGCATTTATGTGTTCTAAATAATGAATATTTAATTTTACACATTTAAATTCATTATAACTAATCCTACAAATAACATCACTTTATTTATATCTTCCTTTCATGTCTACTTAAAATAACTGAAAATGAGAATTAAAATACAAAATATAAGTACATTTAAAGTTATGATGTATAATGGCAGATTTTCTTCCCAACTTTGTTTCTGCCGCCTTCCCCGAATCTTTCAAGAGAATACATGTGTCCTTATTCTCCATAACATAACCACAGCAGGTTATAAATTTTCCAGTGGTTTGGGCCCTCTGATGAGGAAGAAAGATTCAATTTAATTATTCTCACTTCTTTGATTATAAATGCCTCCCATCACCTTTTCGAATGCTGATTGGCCATCTCTACTTCTCCTTTTGAATTTGCCTCTTCATGTCCTTTGTCATATCTCTTTGGATTATTTTCACTATCCAGTGCAGAATATTCATTCCTTTTGTTTTGTTTTGTTTTTGGCAGTTACTTGGTTGGAACTCAGGACCTCATTCTTGCTAGGTAGGCGCTCTTACTGCTTGAGCCACTCCACCAGCAATATTCCTACTACTGATTTTGGCCTTTTTGTCATCTGTGTGGTGCACAGATTGGTTACAATTCTGGTTGGTTACATTTCCAGTAACACTGTGTAAAGTATGCTTTGGACATAACACCTGTGCTAGCTGTTGTCCTTGTACTCCTGGAGCATTGAGCATTTCAGATACCTGTCAGGAAGAGACAAGTTCACCTCAAGAAGGGACTTTAGGAGAGGAGCAGTGGTCACCTGAAGATGTCATCACCAAGCAAGGCACTCCAGACACCCAGCCCACAGAGTAGACGTCCTTCAATGGAGAAGTATTTCCTCATCTCTCACTTTCACTTGACTGGACTGACCGCCACTCCTGACCCTTGATTTCCTGTGTGAAAGTGAGTGGGTCCCTCCTACTTCATGAGTTAAACAGAAAGATGAGACCTACAGCCTCCTCCTTCAGCAGCTGTAAGGAGTAAATGAGATAACACAGCTGATTTGTGACTGGCAAACCTCCTTCTATTGCTGGATGTTTTGAACTAACGTTATTGATTACATTGGTCAGACTACTCACTGCCTAAAGGAAACCAACACATAAAATAGATAAAGGATCTGACACAGGCCTGGACACCAACAAACATAGCTCTTTCTGTGTAAAAACCTCCAGCAACATCTGTGTGGAGCAACAGTGAGAACATGTGGCAGAGTGTTTGGATGTTCTATCCACAAAACAACCAAACAAGCCACATGTCAAAGCCCGTGCAAAACTAAACTTCTAGTATATTCACTACATCTAGTATATTGAGGACAAAAACTGGCAGATTGGCTGGGCATCAGTGGCTCACACCTGAGATCAGGAGGATCTCAGTTCAAGGCCAGCACAGGTAAATAGTTCATGAGATCCCATTTCCAAGATAACCAGAGCAAAATGGACTGACGGAGTGGCTCAAGCAGTGAGCACCTGCTTTGTAAGTGTGAAGGCCAAAGTTCAAAGCCCTGTCCCACGAAAAAAAATTTTTCAATTTTAAAAGTTGGCAGAATTGATATGTGGAGAAAAGATTGCACAGGAAAGTTATTGCTGCAACATCACTTAAAACACAAAATGCCTAAGCCACATACCTATGAGGAAGCAGTCAAAAATACAAAAGCACATCCATTCAATGAGAACATATCTATGAAAATGGAAATTAGTTAATGTTAAGTGGAAAAATTACAACTTAAAATGAGATGCATAGGATGAATTCAAATATCATTTTAAATGCATGTGAAGAAGAGTATAAGAAAATTTAAGAAGCCTAGTTTGTGAGCAGAAAAGTAGTTAAATGGGAGAGTTGTTCATTCTTACTGTTTCTGCCCCATACAACAAATAATAACAAGAAACTAAAAACAAAAGCAAAGTCAACTCAAAAGGGACAAAGGAAGGCTGCAGCACACAAATGTCCTCAAACCCCTGTTATTCTCCTTGGGTCTTTCAAAGAAAGAAGAAAAGGTGGCAATTTGGGTAATGAGTTGGAATTTTAACAGGGAGAAAGGCGAGCCTTACTGACCTTGAAAGTGGTCATTTTTCCTCCTCCTAATAACATACAGAGTCCTGAGTCATTCAGATCACAGGAAGGCAGAGCTGTGCCTAGAAAGGGCAAAAAAAAGAAAACAAGATATGAAAGTGTGGCCAGGAACACTTCTCACCACCATGGACACTAACAGTGAACTGACACAGCAGCCTTATTCATAACGCAAAACCAAAAATGACAAAATTGCTCTCCTATGAGCTGATGGACAGATTACAGTGCATCCATACATCAGAAACCAGGCACTGACACATGTTACAACACCATGAACCCTGAGGACCTTCATGCTCAGGGGAAAAAAGCTGGTCACAAGGGACTAGGCGAATATGATACACAGAGAAAGGAGGCTAGTGGTTGCTGTGGATTTGTGGTGGGAATGAGGGTAAGCAAATATGGACCCAAGGAGTCCAACTAGGGGGAGATGAAAATGTTCTGAGCTCAATTACAGCAATGGTGACACTATTCAGCAAAGGGCCTAAAAAATCAGTCATCTGTACTCGTGAAGTGGGTGAGTTCTGTGATATGTATCCTACACCTCAATAAAGTTGGGGACCCCAGTGTCACCAAAAAGATAAATAAAAAATAAAGTAGGGGGGGGAAGGAATGTCAGTCTACATGTCATTTAAATTGACAAGGCTGGATTCAGAGTCCATGCCGTATTTTTTGAATGCTGTATTTGGATGAATGAATAAACAAGTGTGGGAGGAGGGAAGGCGTCTCTCGTGGACAGGAGAATGTCCACGGATGAATGCATCTGCCCGTAATGAACTTGAATTGAGAACCGCTTTAGGGTGAAGGAATCTGACAGCTATCCCCTTGGCCGAGGAGCAGCGCCCATGTCACAGTTGTTTGAATGAGGAGGACCCCGCCGAGAACTTGCACGCGCCGGAAATGAAGTCTCTCTCCAGAGTAACTTGCCTGTATTTTTCCAAAAATATGGAGAATAAAAAGGCAGGCTGTGAATCCTCCCGTGAGTCATCCGAAGACTCGGCTCCAGGACACAGCGCCGGTTACACGCGTTCTTAGTGGGATTTGGTACCGATGCTTAATGCTCATCGAAAAGACAAACAGGAAAACCTAAGCACAGCCCGAGGAAACCAGGACAACCCCAGATGCGAGCCGGTTCCACCGAGGATAACCGAAACCGCTGCCCTCGCGCCACAAACCTCTGCTCTCCCCACGGCGATTCTTTTCTGCTAAGCCGAAGGCCAGGTCCCTGCGGCAGCAGACGAAGGTCGGCTGAAGCGCCAGGAAACCTGAACTCACCGCCCAGAATTCCTCTGATCCACATGTGAACTGAAGTGTCTGAGTACTGTTGGACTACAACTCCCAGAATTCCCAGAATTCGCTTTCCTTAAAGGTAGCACCCAGTACTCTTACACAGACGCGAGACTACACCTACCGGAATTCCTGATTCGCCTGGCCAACCGAAGTACCGGTTACCCCCACAGGGCTCTGGGACTACACCTCCCAGATGTCTCTGGATTCGCCTGAGCGGAAGTGGAACTCCACAGGCCTGCTGTACTACATATCCAAGATTTCCCTAGCATACGCCTCCCCGAATGAACTTCCCTGCCATAAAACAGACCTGCTCTACTTTATTTACATCCCACAATTCCCTTGGAACGAATCCCACCTCCTGAACACCCGGTACTCACGTGGATTTGACACTGAGAGTTAGCTGTACATCTTCCTGAGTCTTCCAATGAAAATATTCTATAGACAGGATTTCTCAAGGTCTTGACTTCTCCAATTATGACAGGAGTACTATTGGAAAGAAAACAAGCAAAGAGATAACACCGTTTAAGAATTAGTGGGGGTGGGAATGCAAACTAGTACAACCACTCTGGAAAAAAATTTGGAGGCTACTTAAAAATCTAAACATTGATCTACCATTTGATCCAGCAATACCACTCTTGGGGATATACCCAAAAGACTGTGACACAGGTTACTCCAGAGGCACCTGCACACCCATGTTTATTGCGGCATTATTCACAATAGCCAAGTTATGGAAACAGCCAAGATGCCCCACCACTGATGAATGGATTAAGAAAATGTGGTATCTATACACAATGGAATTCTATGCAGCCTTGAAGAACGAAATGTCATCATTCGCTGGTAAATGGATGGAATTGGAGAACATCATTCTGAGTGAGGTTAGCCTGCCCCAAAAGACCAAAAATCGTATGTTCTCCCTCATATGTGGACATTAGATCAAGGGCAAACACAACAAGGGGATTGGACTTTGATCACATGATAAAGCGAGAGCACACAAGGACGGTATGAGGATAGGTAATACACCTCAAAAACTAGATAGCATTTGTTGCCCTCAATGCAGAGAAATTAAAGCAGGTACCTTAAAAGCAACTGAGACCAATAGGAGAAGGGGACCAGGAACTAGAGGAAAGGTTAGTTCAAGAAGAATTAACTTAGAAGGTAATACACATGTACAGGAAATCAATGCATGTCAACTTCCTGTATAGCTATTCTTATCTCAACTAGCAAAAACCCTTGGTCCTTCCTATTATTGCTTATACTCTCTCTTCAACAAAATTTGAGATAAGGGCAGAATAGTTTCTGTCTGGTAGCGGGGGGTAAGGGAGGGGCACATATGAATAAAATAAAAATAAAAAAAGTGGGGACGAAAAATGACTGAAAGGATAATGTTTAGCGTAATATGACCACATGGGGTGGAAAGAGATCATGTGAAGCCTGGGCGAGTCTCTTTTGGTCTTCAGAGTGGACATATTGTCAAAATATTGTGTTATATAAGTTACTTAAATTATTCCTTGCTCTGCTTATTTTATTCATTTGAAATATATTAGGTTAAATTCTTTTTCTTTGATTTTTAGTTTCTTGATTTTAATCCCCATTCTTGATTTAATATTGTGTAAATTCTGTTCCCATAGAGTCAATACTACACAAAACATTCTCCCAGAAGTGCCACTCATTCCCCTCCTGTCCGTCCCTACAGTACTTCCACTGGTTTCTCACCTAACTTCTATGTGAACAGAAGTTAGTACTTTCTGATTATATATGACAGTATGTGTACATTTTCTTCTTGTCCCTATTTTCTTTTATTTATTTATTTGCAGTACTGGGGCTTGAACTCAGCGCCTTCACCTTGAGCCACTCCACCAGCCCTTTTTTTGTGAAGGGTTTTTTGAGATACAGTCTCGAGAACTATTTTTCCCAGTTGATTTTGAACCACAATCCTCCTGACCTCTGCCTCCTGAGTAGCTGGGATTACAGGTGTGAGCTGCCAGTACTGGGCCAGTATTTGTTTTCTTGTGGTCTATCCTAAAGAATATTCTATACGCAGCAGACAGTGTATTCTGCTGTCGATGCTTGGTGAAGTTACAGATATGCTCTTAGCTCCAATTGATGCATCATGTTCATCATTCTCTTTTTCCTAACTGGTTATGTAGTTTGCTTTGTTCCACACACTTGCAAGTGGGTACTGAAGTCTCCTACTATTCCTCCAGAGTTGCTTTCTCTGTTAAGTGTTTGTTTCATATATTTTGGAGCTATGACATGGATTACACGTTTATAATTCTTGTCTTCTTCATGAAGTAACCATCTTAGCTACATGTAATGTCCTTCTTTGTCTTTTCTAAGTTTTTTACTTAAAGTATAACATCAATTATTAGTCTAGACACTTCACCATCTTTTCATTACTATTTACATAGACTATTTCCTCATTCTTCCACTTTCAACTTTTGCATGTCATTAGATCTAAAATGAGACCCTTGTGCAGAGCATAGAGTTGGATATTGTTTTTCTAACCATTTTACCTATTTCTTTAGATTGAGGAGTTTAATTAATTTACACTTAAACTAATTATTCTAATTATTCATAGGGGAGGACTTACCAAGGTTGTTTGTTTTTTGGGGGGGCAGTGCTAGGGACTGAACCCAAGGCCTTGCACATGCGAGGCAAGTGTTCTACCACTGTGCTACAATTTGAGTCCCCAATTTATTGTTTGTTTTCTGCATATCTTATTACTTTTTTGCCCTTCACTTCTTCCATTATTGCCTTCCTTTGGGCTGAGTTGCTTTTCTGTAGTGATACATTTTGAACGCTGTCCAATCTCGTTTTGTGTATGTTTAATTTTTTTTTTAGCGATCACATGTAACATCCTAAAGATAAAACAATGTTTTAAACTGATACCTGCCCCAATTACATACAAAACCCTCTCTTACAGCTCCATGTTCTGCCTGCTTTGTTACTGATATCATATTTTACATGCTGTATACTCATTAACATAGATTTATAATTACTTTGTCTTTTAAATACTACAGAAAAGTTTTTAAGTAGGGCGTAAACCAGAATTACAATAGTTTTTATGTTGGCTCATTATTTGCCTTTACTGTAAATCTTTGTCTTTGCATAGCTTTAAGTTACTGTCAAGTATCCTTCTATTCCAACTTGAAGAATTCCCTGTAGTAGTTCTTTTAGGGCTTGACTGGAAATGAACTCTGTTATCTTTTAATGCCTGATAACGTAATTTCTTTCTGGAAGGGCAGTTTTGCTGAATACTGACATTTGTGAAGACAGGTTTCTCCAGTCCCACATTGACATATTTAATCCCAACGCCTCTGGTCAGCAAGGTTTTCTGAGAATGCTGATGATCTTTTTGGGGGACACAGTATATATAAAAGTTGCTTTTCTCTTAATGCTCTCATTTTTGTTACTTTGGCTGTCAAGTTTGGTTATAATATTGTCTCAGTGTGGTCTTGGTCCTTTCCTACTTAAAGTACATTGAAATTCTTGGACTTGTAGATCCATAGATTTAATTAAATTTGTGAAGCTTTTATTTCTTTAAATAAATTCTCTGTCCCATTTTCTCTTCTCCTGAAAATCCTGCAATGCACCTACTGGTCCAGTTGAAGGTGTCCCAGGTTCTATTCACATTTTTTTTCAGCAGTGGGGATTGAACCCATGACTGCATGCAGGCTAGTTTTACCACTTGAGCTACACCTCCAGCCTTTTTCTGGTTTGTTGCTGTTGTTTTTGAGATAGGGTCTTGCTACCTCTTTGCTCAAGCTGGTGGGCTGAACTCAAATTTGCGTCCTCCTGCCTTCACCTCTCAAATAACTGGGATTTCAGGCATGTACTACCATGTCCTGTTTATGTTCACTTTTACTTATTCTATTTCTTTTTGCTGTCAAGACACGATAATTTCATAACACCTATCTTTATGCTCTCTCATTCTGAAGGATGATATAGCAAGTGTAGAGGCTATTGGCCTTAAAGGTGCTTACCTGTGGCTTTGACGTCTGTTTAAATCCAATCTCTACCATATCCAAATTAAATGCTGCTGTGAACATATTAAAAATAATTAAATAAATGGAGGCACCAACGATGCTCAAAACAACGCTTGATTCATGATAGAAAGCTCAGGTCACGTGCCGATTTGGTGACCCGTGGTTAAAGTGCTCTGTCTCTATGAAGATCATGAGCAGAAACAAAAGCTGCTTAAGAGTGGTTACATATAGAAGACAGCAGGGTTTTCCTTCAAAACTGAGCTTCTGTGTCTTGATTTACCAATTGCAGCAACCAAAGGATTCAAACAGTATCAGTATCTGTGCATTAGTTGGGTTTTCATCCCTGTGACAAAATGCCTGAGAAAAATCAACTTAAAGGAAAGATTTATTTGAGGGAGAGAGAGAGAGAGAAAGAGAGAGAGGGAGGGAGGGAGGGGAGGGAGGAAGGAAGGGAGAGATGCCCAAGTCAAGACACATCACCCAAGAACCAAGTTCCTTCAACCAGGTCCTGCCTCCCAAGTTTCCATCACCTCACAATAACCCATGAAATCATGAACCCATCAATGGATGAACCCATCGATGAAATTAGAGCACTCATGATCAAATCATTTCCCAAATGCCCTACCTCTGAACATTGCTGCATTGAGAATAAAAGCCTTCAACATGTTGGCCTTTGAGAGACACTACAAATCCAAACCTTAACAATCTGACACTGACAATTTAAGTACTTTTAGATATCCTGAACCATATGGTTTTGGTAGCAGAGAACTTACATGGAACATAGTGCAGAACCTTCATTTGTCCTCATTCCAGTCAAAAGCTTTCAAGTTACTCATAAAAGGAAGAGTAAGGCCAGATGCAGGTGGCTCACACCTATAATCCTAACTACTTGGGAGACTGGGATTGGGAGGATCACAGTTTGAGGCCAGCTGAGCCAAATTATTCACAAGACCCCATTTCCAAAATAACCAGAGCAAAATTGGACTAAAGGTGTGGCTCAAGTGGTAGAGCACCTGCTTTGGAAGCATGAAGCCCTGAGTTCAAACCCCAGTCCCATCAAAAAGAAAAAAAAGGCAGAGAAGCATAACCCAAAGAGAAATAAGTAGACTCTAGAATCCAAGGGTGTCCACTAAGCATTGTGACTTTAAGAGTGGAGAATGACTTATTATCTATAGCAGGTAAGGACAAGGTGGGAGTTATTTCCAAAACAATCAAAGGAAGTATGGGGTTTTATTTTATTTATACTACATATAGGATAGTACTTTAGGGGCAAGCACATTCCAGAGCATGCTCAGTTTAAGGTCATAGTTCAAGAAGAAAAGAAATATTTGGGGCTTACTTAGCTCTAGGTCATGGAACACATGTCCAAAAGGTTAAAATGGCAGATAGGAACACTTCAGGGTATGCTCAGCTTGTGTTAGAAAGATGGCAGTCAGGCACACCTCAGGGCATGTTTAACTTTCTCCAAGAAGCTTGGTGGTTGGGAACCTGATTCCAGAACTGTAGGGAGTCAGCCTGGATAGGCTGTCTTTTGTCACTGCCTTTTCTGTCTAGAGTTGAGCAGCAACATCCCTGGAGCCTTCAGGGCCTGGCATTGTGACTCTTTTGGGGTATAGGAGAGGCCAGATGCAACCCACTTTTCACCTCAGAAAGGACATCTCAATAGCTGGAAATTTCATTGAGGTGAAAGGTCCCTAAATATTTGTGGGATTTATGCTTGTCAATATGTCTAGATTATTTCCTACTTATTTTCACCAGATTAACATAATATCAGCATGATGTCAGTGTGCCATTTGAAGCAAGGATGCCAGGCACTGCCAAAGACACAGTCACACTGGTACAGGGCCATAGGTTCTGGTGCTAGAATTCCAAGGAAAATACTAACAATAACAATTTTGCAGTGTACCAAGGCCCATCCTCAAGAGGAACAAAATTCTCCTTCCTCCAAGGGATTCTGGATTTATAAACTGGATATGTCCTGGAAATGATTCTAGGGCTGTGACTCTCTGTTAGGTGATTCAAGTTAGATTTCTGCTCATGTGAAACAGACCTCTTCTGCCTACACAGGCCCAGTTACCATTTAGAAGACTTCCCAATAATTTATTTACTAGGGACACCAAGATCAACAATGCAAAATCAAGAAGATAATGTATAATGTTTGAAGTTGAGCTGAAAATTTGTGGCCTTTAGTCAACTTTTTCTTTCCTGCTTTCTCCAGTAGTTGCAAGCAACCAGCCAGCGCCTTACTGGCTTCATGTTGTTATGGGATTAAATACAATTCACACAAATTTCTATTGTTAAACACTTGCTCTCTCTATTTGAAAATGGAGAAACATCATCAATGTGGCATTCTAGTTTTTGGTGTTTTAACCTTGTAATCATAATTTCTCATCCTACAATTTCTGATTATGCATTCTGACACACACTGCTTTCCAAAACACGTTTCTACCACCACCAATAAAAACACATAAATGTTAGTCCTTCCCCAGTGATGAATACATCTGATGAAACTGCTATTAAAATTTTCAAACTCAAGCCAGCAACCGGTGGCTCACACCGTAATCCTAGATACTCAGGAGGCAGAGATCAGGAGGATCACGGTTCGAAGCCAGCACTGGCAAATAGTTCACGAGACCCCCCATCTCAAAAAAAAAAACAAAACTTAACATAAAAAGGCTGGTAGAGTTGCTCAAGGTGAAAGCCCTTAGTTCAAGACCCAGTACCAAAAAAAATTCAAATTCCAATGAGTTTTTCTTGATATTTATTTATAGGAATAGAGGAAGAATATGGGATAGGAAGGCTGACAAAAGAAATGTCCTTTAAATTTGGCACAGCTCCTGAGAAGTTTGAAAAGAAATGCTGAAGTAATTAAAGACAATCACATCAAAGCCTATATGGAAATGCAAAGAGATACAAGTCATGATCATAACAGGATTAAGAAAAAATTTTACCCATGTAGTAATTACATTTGACACTGTAAATCTTGAAAAATTTTAATTGTGAAATATGCAGTGCTCCATTATTGCAGTTAACAAAACCTTCAGTCTATAGTATAAGAAAACTCCAAAAGACCCATAAGCTGAGGAGAGGCCAGTGGGATAATATTCAAAACAGCCCTGTGACTTGCAGTACTGAGAGCAGTCTGTGTTTCCAAATCGTGCTTGTTTCCCTGAATTGCTTTCTGCAGGTTTCCACTTCTGGATACAATTTGCAAACAGTGTATGGTTTTTACTTTTGATTCATTTAACAAAGTGCTGATACAGTTAAGATTGTACAGCATGAGCAGCAAAGTCCCTGCCATCAGGGAGCTTACATTCTAGTGGATAACTCTTGTACCTCCATTGCTATACTTTTGCAAATGCCTAAATGAATTTTTTGTGTGTGGAACTAAGGTTTTAATTCAAGGGTTTGTGTTTGCAAAGCAGGTGCTCTACTACTTGAGCCATGCCTCCAGTCCAAATGCTATGGCCCATACAGGGATCAAATCCACAACCTTGTTGTTATTAGCACCGTGCTCTAACCAACTGAGTGCGCCAGCCCCTCCTACATAAGATTTTTATCCTTTGTGAATGATAACTGTAATTGTCAAACTTCTGCATGAAACCCTGACTTGACCACATATTAGGGTGCTCTGCTACATGATCCAGAGACCACTGGGACAACCTGAGCTATGGCTGAAACACTCCTTAATGAACAACATGTGTGCCCTTGTAAAAATTAGATAAAATTTATCACCAGCATGGGTACTGTGATGACTTATAAGATACAAACTCAAACTGAGTGCTTACCATACATCTCCTGTCCATAAGGTTCTCCAGGGTGAACTCTCAGAAGAGACTGTAGTCATGAAGACTGACAACTTTACCACACGTATAACATTTCTAAGATTACTCTCCAAGGGGCACACTCTGGTGGAGTTGAGGACTTGAGGCCTGAATGAAGCACTGACCACACACTCCACACTTGCATGGTTTCTCTCCTGTGTGTACCCTCCAATGTGCGTCAAGGTTCAAGCTCTACTAGTAGCCCTTCCTACACTCCTCACATCTGTATGGCTTCTCTCCAGTGTAAGTTCTCTGACGGGAATGACACTGAGAAGCTATATAAAAGCTCTCCCCACACTGCTCACCTTTGAATGGTTTGGCTCCACTGTGGACTCACTGGTGTTGCAGAAGACATGAGGACCATCTGAAACTCTTTCCACATTCTTCACAGCTATACAGTTTCTCTCCTGTGTGAACCAGCTGATGCTTACAAAGATCTCACCTACAAATGAAGCCCTTTCCACACTCCTCACATTTGTATGGCTTCTCTACTGTGTGGACCATGCAATGATTATTAAGTGCTGATCTCTGGCGAAACCTCTTACCACATGTGTCACATCTGAATGGCTTCTCTCCTGTGTGGATCATGGAATGCCTGTTAAGCCTTGATCTACCACAAAAGCTCTTACCATATATATCACACTTGAACGGTTTCTCCCCCACGTGGATTCGCTGATGTTCTGTAGCTGTGAGTCATGAATGTAGGCTTGCCCACACACCTCACAACTGTATGGTTTCTCACCTGTGTGTACTTTGCAGTGAACGTTAAGTGCAGCTCTCTGACTGAAGCCTTTCCCACACTGCTCACATTTGAATGGTTTCTCTACAGTGCGGACCTTCTGATGAGTTTGCAGACGGGAGCTCTGGCTGAACTCCTTTCCACACACATCACACTTGTGGCGTTTCTCTCCCATGTGAACTCTCTGATGAACACAAAGAGCTGAGCTGTAACAGAAGCTTTTTCCACACTCCTCACATTTATGAGACTTCTCTCTTGAGTGTAATTGTTGATGAAGACCAGAGCTGGAGACATCACTGGAGATCTGGGTGTGCTCACTATCCTGATAAAGTTTTTGTCCTGTGTGAATCAGAGATAATCCTGTTCCAACCTGACAGGGTGACTCACCTTCTTTGGTGAACTGAGAGATGCTTATTGTGGAGTCTGGATATATGGTTAAGTCACTTGCAATCTGTCCCCAGATTTGTTTGAAAGACAACTCTTCACATTGTCTTGCTTCTGGAAGAGTCTCCATCTCAGTTTGGAATCATGCCTCCTGTCAGAACAGAGAATTCAGACATGTGGACAATAGAAAACTCAGTTTAGCTTTTCAAGATTTCACACTGAAAACAGGGCATGAGACTTCAGTGAACACAGCTAATACGATGTTTATGTTTTCACTATGCATGCGACTGATTTAGAACACATCAAGTCTCATATGTGAGTGTCAAATGAAAAAAAAAGACTTAAAAATAAGATGATATATCCAGCCAACCTGTTACTTTTATTGAATTTCCTACTCATTCTAAAATCTTAAATGGTAAAATTATACAACTATTAGATTATGTACATAATGAAATATGACTCACTGGAAACATTAAGGAAAGGCAGTGACAGAGTCAATACTTTATCTATTTGGGTTTGTGCTGTATATCCTTAAGAACTAAAGAAATTAACCTTACTCAAAAAGAGGTCTGAGCTTTGTCCTCAGCATCTGAGGGGTACCTCTAAGCCCTTGCAATTTAAAGCCCCAGAAGAATGTCTTTGTTTCCGAGGGAGTGTGGGTCACTCTGTATAGTTTAACAATGTAATTTAGTGTTGTGGCTGGCCGCACCACTGGGGATGTGGACCCATGTCAAAAAGACCAATAACTGATTTAAGTGGGGCTTTGGATCATGTGGAATCAAGTGACAAGGGACCTGAAATTAATCACATAGGAAATCAATCAGCCAATAATGGTTATATAATGAGGCCATATGGTGCCTATGTAGAGAAGTTGTAATAATTACTCTGCTTATCAGGGTCAAATGAGCTTCTTGATTGACAGTCCCTTGTGTATCACACCTCATCTTAATCCTCAGGAAGTAATGTGCCCTGACCAAATGGGGAGAACACAATGGAAGTTTCTCGTTTGGTACCTCTTGGGACTTGTGTTATGTAATTTTCTGCAGGTTAATTGCAACTTTTCCTGTAAAAGTCATAATGATGAAAGTGAAAGCATTCAGTCAGTTCAGAGTCTTTTTACTTCAAAATACAGCAGTAGGTCTCTACAAAAGTAAAGGAAAATTGGGTAATTTACTGCATGGAAAGGAAGTATTGGGAAACTACAGATTTTCAGTTGGTTGAAGTGAGGGTGTGTCAGAGAGCTGGTTCAGAAGCAGGCATGACAATCCTCATTCACAAAGGATTTCTTCCCAGAAATGAATATACTCCCTATAGAAGCTTCCAGAAAAAATCACAGGGAAGGTATGTTACTCTGTGTTCACAAAAAGAATTCCTAGACATTTCCCTGGGAAGTGGGTCAAGTGTACACATAAGGCACTTGACACATAAGGCAATCATATTGAGGAAGCCTCAAAAAGTTGAAATTGGACAGGCAGCCATTCAAAGACAAAAAAAATCTGCCACTTTTCTCATTCACTCTAGTTTGTGTCTTCCTTAATTATCCCCATGATTCCTGGAACAGTGACATGCCCCCATCCATAACTCATTCATTGTGTTAACAAGTATTTGCAGATACCTACCATGTGCCAGGAGTATTCTAGATGCTGAGGACACAGTCATAAACGAAACAGATAAAAGATCCCCCTCCAGAGATTACACTCCAATGGAGATGAGAAGACACTAAACAAAAACACACAAGCTGCGTGGCTTACAACAGGCTATGTTTCCATAAATTCCTTGTAGCTTGAAGACATGGTAAATCAAAAATGCATTTAATACACCTAACATACCAGCCATCATAGCTCAGCTAGCCTGCCTTAGATGTGCTCGGAACACCTACAGTACCCTTGAGTTGGGAGAAATCTTTGAACACAAGGCCCATTTTATAATCAAGTTTGACTGCCTCATGCAATTTACTGAATACGGTATACTGTGAAATACACCTCTGGTCATTTACCCTGGTGACCCCGTGGCCGACTAAGAGTCAGGCTCCCTGCTGCTGCCCGGCACCTTGAGAGTAACAGATGGAAGAGTCACGTGTAAGGACTCGAGTTGCTCGGTCCCTACCCTCTTGGTCGTCTTCTCTATAGGACGATGTCTTGATCAACCAAAACTTTCCTTCCGTGATAAAGTAGAGGATGTCTTGTTTCAGTGGTTGACGCCCTGGAAACTTGCAAAGTCACAGGCTTGAGACACATTCTCAGTAAATCTAGATAAAATTTACTGGACATTGAGGTTCCCACGCAGACACGAACACCCAAGGATACAAAGCCAGTCTGGGGGCTGACAATCCATTTCATACGGTGACTGTGCTCACCCACTGAGAGCAGCTTCCAGAAGTTCTCCAGCATCACATCGCGGTACAGCCTCCTCTGGGCAGCGTCCAGCAGCCCCAGCTCCTCCTCGCTGAAGACCACAGCTATGTCCTTGAACGTCACCGCCTCCTACATCAAACACACGTGACCTCAGTCTTAAGACCAGCATTCACTGAGGTGTGGCAGCACTGAACAGGCAGAGGATAGGTGGGAAGTTGTTATGGATTTTCAGTCTTGGGTCAACTTACAGACTTCTCACTCATTCTGTCTGTACTGTGACAATGGCACAAGGTGATTTTCCTGAGCTTCCCCACAAGGGCAATGATAGATGCGAGTCCTGGACCTTTACTTTGTGCACTCACTGATTCTACTGATAAGTAACTTCCAGAACTCTCTGTGTCTCTGTTTTTTGTAGTTCTAGGAATTGAACCCAGGGCCTCACACATGCCAAGCAAGAGCTCCACTGCTGTGCTACATCGCCAGTGAACCTTCTAGAACTCCAAATGATACATCTTGATTTACACCTAATTAAGCTTCAGTGAATCTTGCCAACTGCTCCAGCAATATTTAGCAATTTAGTCTTAACCGTGTTTGATAATGGTCCTCTCTCAAACTAAACCCTGGATGTAATCAAGGTTTTTCTTTAATTAGTCTGCCAAATTAACAAGCTTGTGGTAATAGTTTTCACGATAGCCTTGGAAAGGCCTGGCGCTCTCCCCTTTCTTTCTTGTAGTTCTCAAGGACAGCTATAGAATGTTCTAGGAAGGCAATATCCTGAGTTAGGGAGGATCTGACTGAAGTAGCCCAGGCCTTGTTCCTGTCTCTCCTAGGAGATAAACCTCTTGATTTAGGGAGGAACTAAGCGCCCAGTGAGCCATGGTGCCACTGAGGCGTATAACCTGGGCCGCTGCATTTGAAGGCCTCAGTGGTAGCACAAGGTGGGGCTTGCTGCCATTGTAAGTGATAAATCAGCTTGACATAACTGAGCATGAGTGTGTCCTATCTCACCAGCCTCACTGAAGAGGAAGCAGTGACCCTCTCCACAGAACGAGCAGAGTATGGTCAGGAGTTCTGGCCTAACCAACCTGTTTCTGGGAGGGATGACAGTCCCCAGGAGATGGCCCAGAGTGGAGACGTGAGCCTAGAAGTGCAGTGATTGGAAAGGAAGGGTGGTAAGTGGGACACAGGTCACCCTGGACAGATGAACTGAGGCAGGAAGAATAGAACATGGAAACGGGGGCCTGGCTCACAACCCCCAGTTGTTAGGCAGGTATGTGATTACTCATTCCCGGGCTGGAGCACTCAGGAAGTGGGTGGTCACATGGAACCTAAGAAACCTGAGAGGGAACAGGAAAGAAATCCTCATATAGTCCCAACAGTCACAATGTGGGCCCCCAAGAAGGGGACACTCGCCATCTAAAGGAGAGATGTGCACCAAACCCACAGAAAGGATTACAGAAAGGGTGGAGCCGAAGTCTCTGGCCCTGACCAAAGCCAGTGACCCTACCCTCCCTCCAAGATGGGGAAAAAATTAAACTGCTGACATTGGGGACCGTGGTGCTTATCTGTGTGTGGGCATGGCCCTTTGGGCCATCTCAGCTGGCAGAGACCCTGGCATTGCTTGTGACCCATACCCATTGCTGCCTGCCACCTAAGCTACCTGAGCCACAGCCAGCACTTCAAGGAAAGTAGTACTTCCTACTAAATGGAGAAAAGAACATTACTTCAGTTCAGGACTCATTTGCTACTAGCCATCTTGCCACTATGTAACAGTCCAAGATGAGTGGGCAAAAAGGCCTTCTGGGTAAATGCCAAGGTCACTTGGGCAAGAAGCCAGACAAAACAAATCCCAGATACGGTCAAGCAAAAAAAAAAAACCAAAAAACAAAAACCCTTCTTTTTCTCTGTTCAACTCCCGTCTCCCTCCCCTCCCCTCCCCTCCCCCTCCTCCTGTCTCCCTCTCCCTCTCCTCCCCTCCCCTCCCCTCCTCTCCCCTCTCCTTCTTTTTTGTTTGTTTTGCTGCACTGGAGCTCGAAATTGCCCTCTACCACTAGACACTCCAACACCCCAAGCCCTTTTTGCTTCAGCTTGTTTTTCAAGTAGAATCTCACACTTTTGCCTGGGCTGGTCTCTGATAGTGATCCTCCTACCTCCACCTCCTGAGTAGGTAGGATTACAGGTGTACACCACCACACCTGGCTCACAAAATTTTTTAATCTTCTTGGTACCCACTAAGAAAAGGGAAAGCCCAACAGCTGATAGGCATCTGGAGACAGAGGACAGCATGTACTGGACCTTGGTGTACTCTTAGAATCCTCAAAGTGACAAGCAAAACCATCAACTTTTTAGTGAGACCTTTGCAACTGCAGACCTTGGGAGCCATTCAATAAGCTATGGCCAAGGCACTGCTTTAAAACCCTTCATGTCACATGGGTCCCCAAAGTTAATGCATGCTAACTGGAGTCTGTAGCAAAAGAACACTGCCACTGGGGTGCACCAGCCTCTCAAATTTTCAACATTAGGTTGCCTGAGGCAGTCACCCAAAAGTCCTCTTAAATGGCAAGTCCTTGCTTGCTATCGGGCACTGGTGGAGAGCGAGATACTTATGGCTGGATGCCACACATGGCACTGCCACCTGAACTGCCACAAACCCCACCAATTAAATCGGAAGGCTCAACAGTGCTCAATTACCAAATGGAAGTGGTTTGTTCAAGACCAGACCCAGCAAGCCATGTGAATGAATGAGCTGAACAGAGGGACGAAGTGTCCCACAGAGGAAGCTCTGGCTTCTCCTAGAGCCACCTGCAGGCCAACTCTCAGAAATGCCACCTACAAATGTTATGGCTTACTGAAAGCTGTGCAAAGCAAGCAGATGCATGTTGGGCCATGGCCACGATCTGGCCAGTGAGTGGTAATCTTTTGACTGAGAGAGAACACAGATGTTCTAACCACATGCAGGACTGATGGCCATGCAGGTACCCCATCACAGTATCTTGTTATAGTTTCATCAACTCATGGGCCACTGTCAAGAGCCTAGCATCTGGTCAGGAGAATGACAGCAAGTAAAGTGAACTACTAAAGGAGCCTTCTGTGGGTCAAGGAAGACAGCTTGCCGCCTGGAAAGGACAAATACATGTTTCTCATATGAATGCTGGGACTACCACAGCAGTCCTTGAGAAAAACTCATGTCATGTTCTCAAATACCCTATGGGACTTCACTCTGACCAAGGAACATCCTTCACCTTCACAGCCCAAGCAACACCAGAATGGGCCACACACATGGGCTTTCAAAAGTACCCTGCAGCCCAGCGAGGCTCCTGGACAAGACAGCTGCCAACTCAAAAAGCAACCAAAACAGAGCTCATCTCCTGAGCCAGTGAGCAGCACCCAAAGTCAAACTGCCCCACATAACTGAAAAATAAACAGCAAATCATCATAACACACTGACAGTGGTGGGGGGAGACAACTGACGGAAAGCTGACCCTGCCCCAGAGAAAGCAGGCAGGGCAAAGAAATAAGACCTCAGCACAGTAAAAAGACACCTCCAAAGGAGGACAACTAGTGGACTACAGAAATGATCTCTTGAACCTGAGGGCAGCATGCAAGCTTAAACTGTCACACCTCACTGGGGGAGGAGCTGACCAAGCAGCTGTAGTTGAAAGACAGAGAACAAAACACTACTCACAAACCAACCACCTGGCGAGACTATGACAGAGCTTCTGCTTATATGCCAACACCAGGACTGGATGCTGGAGGAGTAACTCCAGAACTTAAACTAAGACCGAAATTCTATTGTTCCTAACCCTGGAGTTCTTTTTTGTTGTTGTTGTTGTTCTTTGTTTGGTCATTTTTTCCCATTGATTTCTTTGGGGCTTTTTGTTTGTTTGTTTATTGTGGGTTTTCTATTTTTATTTTTATTCCTATTTTTTTCTCTTTCTCTATACTATCAACTTTACCATCATCATCCTCTCATCCCTACTCTCACCCCCTTCACTCTCCCTCCTTCTCCTGTGCAAAAATCCATTGCTCCCCTCTCCAACAACTCATTCTGCCCCTTCTCACCCACTCTCTTCCCCCATCCCTCACCTTCCCCTGCCATTCTCCCCAAACCTGTCACCAGACTACCCCTCCCTCCCTCACATTCATCACCCACTGAACAACCTACTATACCAACTTTACACAACCCCAAACCCCTGTAATCCCTACCACAAACACCCTCTTTTACAACAGAAATACACCCAAACACATTCAAGGACTACAAAAACAGCAGCCCCCACACTGCTTTCCGCACTCACCCACCCCACTCCCCATCTCCCCCTTTAGTGCTACCATATCCAACTCCCCAAATTTCTATAGCTAGCTTTACAAATGTTAACTCCCCCAACTCCCATTGCTTGTAGATATTACTACCAAAGGGTCTCCTATATAATACATAAACTACTGGTCAGGTATTAAACCTGTGAATTAGTTAATACTAACTTACACCCAGAACAGGGACAGAAATAGCACTCCAACTTAACTAAAAACCCAGTACAACCACAAAATAAAATTAAATCAAGGGAAAGAAAACAAATGACTGAAACTACCAACTAGCCTATCAAGAACACAGTTGCACAGTACTAAGTGGAGTGATGGGAAGAAGAAAAAGGGATGGAAAACATTCTCCCCCAAAAAAATAATTTAATACAGGATTCAGAGGGAAATGAAGAAAAAAAATACCCAGTTCTGGACTCCAACAAAGCAAAGATAAATGACACCAAGGAAACCAACAATGTCCACAAAAACACCCTCAAAGAAGAAATCCTGCACATAATCACTGAGAACTTCATGGAGATGCTACTAGACATGGTTAACCAAAATGTACAAGAGGCACTCGAGAAATTTCAAGACACCAAAAATAAAGAACAAGAAAAGACAAAGAAACAAATAAATGAACTCATAGGAGCCCTAAATAAACACCAAAGTGAAACAGAGAACACTATAAATAGAGAGATAAATAAATTAAAGATGAAAATAGACAATATGAAAGAAGAAGTGACCCATAATATGGAAAACCTCAGAAAAAAGAATGAAACAGAAACACAAAACACAGTGGAAGGCCACTCCTGCAGACTAGAACAAGTGGAAGCCAGAATCTCAGAACTTGAAGATAAAATGGAAATTAAAGGAAAAACTGAAGAACTGTTAGTCATACAACTCAAGACATGCAAAAGGAATATGCAAGAACTCACTGACTCCATCAAAAGAACAAACCTGAGAATCA